TTATAAAGTTACAAACGGTCTAGTATGGTACAGAGAGTTACAAACGACTGTAGAAGGACTTTTGGGTTTGAGTAGGAGTACGACTTCCTGCTGTAGGATGTTGGTTGAGGAGTTCTTTCCTGTTATCCTCATAAGATCCCCTTAAAACCTTTCATCATATATCCTGCAGGACTCTTGGACTCGACTAGAACCATAGAAACATCGAAAAGGACCTTCTTCTGTAGGATGTTAGGGAGGTGGATCCTTCCAGCCCTCGTGGTGATGGGTATCCTACAGGGGCACACAGTGAGGGCCAAGCCAGGTACCTTCTTCACCACCGGTTCCATCACCGACAAGTGGCTCCCTACAGGGATTATCGCCTCCTTCACCGCCATCAGTACCAAGACGGAGTGCGAGAGTGTCTGCTCTAAGGTAGGTATTGCTGGCTCTCTCTCTCTCTCTCTCTCTCTCTCTCTCTCTCTCTCTCTCTCTCTCTTAGTAGGCGTAAGTAATGTACAACGTTTAACATTCTGAGATGGATGTTAATTATCTCTCTCTCTATCTCTCTTTCTTTTTCTCATTGTGTCTGTCTGTCTCTCTCTTGATAAATACATAATTATTACTTACTTTTCTGTGTTTCTCTTAATTTATTCATTATTTTTAACTCTGGCATCCCCTTCAATAGCCAACATTAATCACCTCATTACTAATTTACAAACGTCAGTACTTAAATAAATTACTTATATTTTATGACTCTCAAGGACCTAATTCTCAAGGATATTTTTAAGTTTTATCTCTCATATTGGAGCCATTAGAGCACCTTTGACTTTACGGTTGGGAAGTGAGGCTGGTCGAGTGCAGTGCCGACCTCAATGTCCCCTTAGGTATCGAAGATTTAGTTGTAGCATTTAAGGGTGTTTATATATTTAAGGGAGTTGATACATTTAAGGGAGTTTAATAATAATAATAATAATAATACAGTAATAATAATAATTCAGGAAAATCATCATCCAGGTATACAATTGGTTTAGCATATGAATAGACAATGCAGGTTTACCATGGAAGTACGGGTATACAGTTTCCAATGTACCTAGATAGTGCGGGTTATACAAAAATAGTAAACAGTAAGGTAATTTGACCAAGGATAGCCGACAAAGGTTTCAGATTCAGATTTGCCCCATACAGCGATAAACTCTATGACCCAAGTTGATGTTTGACCTATTGACAGAACTTGGAGTGTAATGGATATGCCATCAACATCCTAGAGAAGAAATGTGTACTGTACAATGTCAAGCCTGGAGGAACCAAACCTGTACAGTACAATGGTTACAACTTGTACATCCTGAAGAGAAGTAAATCATTGTACTACTGGTTGTTGTGGTACTGTAGTAGTAGTAGTAGTAGGTTACAATGCTGTATTTAAGTGTGACTGTTTGTGATTGTTGCTTTAGTTGCTTAATTTTTGGGGATTGTGGTGGTAATTGTAGTTATTTTAATGGTTGTAGCAGTAGTATAATTGATGGTGGATGTTGGTAGTCGAGAAAGAATAATTATCTCCTCCCTTCCTCCCTCTCACCCTCCTAACTTTGTAACTGTCTCCTTCCTCCCCTCTCACCCCTTCACCTCACCAGTAATCTTGAACTCTCTCCCCGGCAGCTGAGGAGGACGGCTACTACGTCTATGGGACAGATTACATCAAACTTATGATTGAACGCCAGACCCCCGTCATTGCCTCTAAGATATGTGCTCAAGATGGTGGTCACCTAGTCTCCGTCAATGTGAGTTAGGGGTTACTACGGCTCTTTTAAGATCAAAACAATTAAAAGTTCTCTGTCTTTTTGGAGGTAGTAATCAGGAGGTACTTGGTAGGCATCAGGAGGTACCTATACTTGGTATTAGTAAGGAGGTACTACTGAAGAAAGGGGGCTACAATCATCTATATACAGTATCAGTCAATACCATGACAAGCTTGGGAAGGAAAAGGGAAACTTTGTCCTTAGTGTTTCCTTTCCTTAGCTTAATCCCTTGTGTGCTGAATAAAACGTCTGACATGAGCCAAATTAAATACTAAAGGTGGCGTTACTAAAGTACTATTCACCTGTAAGAAAACGATTTTAAATAACTTGGACAATACAGTGTTATCTCTGCACTGAGCATATATACTGTAATGTGTACCTTCATTGTCTGTGCACGTGCTGAATCAATGTAAACTTTTATATACTGAATCTGTTTATCTACCTATTTACCCTACAGAATAAAAAACTGAACAATATGCTGTACAACATGATGGTGAAACACAATATATGGACCGCCATCATCGGTGTCTCCGACTTAGAATCTGAGGGCGACTGGAAATACGCTGATGGTAAGTCCTTATAAATGTTGATGCTTTGTGGATTCTAATTAATTCAACTTGTATCTATCCTTTAGTGTTATTATCTATCCTTCAGTAGTATTCTCACCTATTCTAAAGTCTTTCTATTATTATTGTTATTATTCAGTTTTAAATCTTACTCTTATAATTATTTCATTATGACATTAATATTGGTGTTAGTGGCACAATAATAGTGCACTTGTCTCCCACCGTAGAAGTAACACTGGTTATTGTAGATCATAATAAAGTAACAAAGTACAAACTAACTGCTCGAATGGCTATTAAACTGAGAGGTGACAGAAATTATAAATAAAATTAATATTAGAACTTCACATCTCTCCCACCCTCCCCCAACCCCTCGGGAAGAATTTCAACTAATACTGTAACGCCATACTGTACATTTCCCAACACAGGCTCATCCCTCTCCTACACTAACTGGGACTGGAATGGTTTTTGGCCAAGGAAAGACCTAGATTGTGCAGTCATCACCATCACCCCCGAAGGGTCGTGGAGGCATGCCAGTTGCTGGACGCTCGACTACTACTTCTGCCAGATCCCAATGTTCTAAGCCTTTCATCAACTACCCAATAACATCTTAAACTTATGATCAACTGCCCAGCAACATCACAAACTGAACATCAAAAGTACTATTTTTTTTGTCATGAACCTAACCTGGTCTAGCCAACCTTAGCCTAATCTACCCTAACTTAGACATAACTTACCCGAACCTGAACTAGCGTAAATCTAACCTAGCCTGATATACCCTAACCTATCTTAATAACCAAGTACAGTAGGAGTGTATAACTCAGATTTGGTTGATTCATGTCATCCAAAACACAGTTGGTTTAGTGCTCAACTGCATTGCCCAATATTTCTTTAACAAAACTTACCATCTTTTTGTGTAAGTGTGAGTGTAACTTTATATTAGCCATTTTATGCTGTACCGGTTGAAGGAACAACAACAGCTTTGTGTTAATTACGTAAAACATCCGGGTCGGTATAAATATATCCTTGTGATCAATGCTGGCGGTGGTGCTGAAGCTGCTCAGTTACAAGATTCGGTAGTGGCTGGAAGAAGTTTAGGGAGCGGCTGCCTTTATTTGATGGTGAAGACCTTCTCTTTGTGTGAAAGGAAAGATGTATGCAACTGGAGTGAGAAGTGTGATGTTTTATGGTACAGTACTGAAATGTGCGGTTAAAGATGGTGACATACGTAGGATTGTACAAGCTGAAATGAGAATGAGATGATGGATGTGTAATGTGATGTTGAGAGATGGAAACCCTGTTCAGAGCTAAGAGGGCAGTTGGGTATTGAGAATATTGGTGAGATTTTGTGTAGAGGTAGACACTAGGATAATATGGGAATTATTTAATTAACAGAAACATATTGTATGTTTCAAATAGATGTCTTTTCCAGTGAAAATTCTTGTAAAGTTTTCACAAGCAGATATTGACATTACTATTATCCTGAAAGTAATCTATCAGTCTAGTACAAATTAATGAAACATTCCCTATAGACTTTTTCAGCCACTTGTGTACAGTATATATAAATACCGGTACAGTATTTAACTCAGTTACGGACAAACCTCTTATGTACGGGTGCTAAATAATATACTATATGTTATAGCCCTCACTCTCTGACAGCTAACTCATGCTATATAAAGTCTTATGCTATCACTGTGTGTTAGTGAGCAGTAATAATAATGATGATAATAATAGTATCAGTATTACCATTACAGTATTATCAGTTACTATTATTATTAATCTGTAGATAATATTAGTACAGTATTAACAAATCTTACTTCTTTTCAGTTTTAATTTACTTAAGTTATTTTTCTAGCCTGCCTACACAGCTAGTTATGACCACAAGTAATGAGTGTATTGAGTAAATAAAAATTATATTCTCCCTCAACTGTACTGTGAATGACCTAAAATAATAACGTAACTAAAAATTTATATTTTGACCTTACACTAAAATTCTTGCCTAAAAGTTTCAATATATCACACAAAGTCACGAGGAATCTTTAAGCTAAAATATTTATAATATAAAATGTGATATACAGGTAATAACAACCATGTAATTATCCAGTTATTGTTCAGTAAATACCACTGATTGGCTGGCTAGTACAGTAACTACCTTGTGATTGGTTAGCGAGTACAATAACTAACTTACTAAGTTGTGATTGGCTAGTCAGTACAATAACTGACTTACTAACTTGTGATTGGCCAGCCGATAAAGTAACCACCATGCCAGCTTATGATTGGCTGGCCAATAAACATTAGCTTGAAAGTTAAATTAGATGAAGTATATCAAGATGGCAGACAAACTAACCACTACTGTAAGTACTCTACACGTCTAAGCTCTACCAGTACTTGATAATTTATTTCTCACATCTGCTAACTTGACAACATTATCTAACACATTTTGTTTTACCTGTGATTCCTCAGAATAAATTCTGCCTCTTCAGTTTTTCATCATACACTTTATACATCTCCTTTCTTTGCAGTAATTAAGTATGGGATGTTCTGTTGCCTAAGGCTCCCTTATCTTCATTAGGCTCTGTTTAGTTAGGATCTGTATCATTGACAATAAATTACCTTGTAATTCTTGTACTCAGTTATTCTAAAGGTAAGTAATACATTTAGATTTACTATTTAACTTTTTTATTTTTCTTATTTTTATCACTGTGTGTACTGATATAACCACAAGAGTCTAAAATTTGTCGTGCAGAATTGTTGATATGCTTGAACCTGTCTGGCCCAAGGTGTATACCGCCATACCATCTTGTCACCACCACCAACACATCTTTGGCATCAAGGATCTGAGAACAAGAACAACAAAGAAATGGTCAAAAGTTTAGTCAGCATGAGTTAGTTAAAAGAGTTCCCTCAGTCAATCACTCAATTAGGACTGGTACCGGGTACTTATAATATTGACTGTCGTAAGCGATATGCGTGTCGCTTGCTGTGTGACATATTGCGTGTCAGAAACCATACAAGAGATAGGATGGAAAGAAAGTCTAGAAGGGTTTACCTACCTGGAGGAGGTGCAGGAGGCGACCTCCCGCATGAATTTCTCCATCATCTTCACAGTTTTGGTTCACATTGGTGGATCCCTCGGGGGTAAAGCGGTAGGCGTACATGTTGTGAGTGGCATTGGCGATCTTCTTGTTCTCATACAATTTTCTCAATACTTGCCTGAAATACAACAAATATGAAGCACTACTACAGTATACAAAAGAAGTCCTCTACAGCCAACACCACAATGATCATTCCCCTGACCAAAACCAACACCAAAAAGGTTCATAAACTATATACAGGTTAGCCTCATTTAAACAGGGGGTTGTCTTCCTAGAAAATTCTTAGTGTACAGGTGGTTACATTCCCAGCAACAGCCCCCATTTTGGCAATGATTCTGTGCTGTGACAAGTTTCCATGTATACACCAACAGAGGTGGGATGACCAAGAGCACTATTAACATGTAAGGCCCTGAAACTAAGATTAAATTTAATGCAGTACCACACCACTTCCTGACAAAGGCAACTCACAGATCAGTCTACAGAAAATTGTGGTTATCCTTGCCTTTTTTATTGACTCACCAATGAACAAGTAAGGTATGGTGGCTCTGGAAATGGTATACAAGTATAAATAACATTTGAGATGGAAAAAATAGATTGCATAAATATAAATCTGGTTCTTGTGAAAGCAACATTAATGAAGGCAACTTGCATAAAGAACTCAATTCAAGTCAATAAGACAAATGGAAACCTTATGTCTATGTAGAGGAAAGATGAATAACATACAATACCCTGACCATAACCCCCAAACATTTTCAATTAAGGGGATCAACAGAGTCCACAAAATAAAGCCACTGAATCCAACAAATGTATAGAAATCAAAGCAAAAATCGATAACCCCAAAAATGACTGGAAATTAATGGGTATGAAGCAGATTCACAATACTGTACCTGACTTCAGCCTGTGACTTGACCCCTGCAAGATGTGGCTGGAAATGACTCTTTCGGTCAGAAATAATCTCGCCAGAAAATATGTCTGGACAAGGTGTAAGGTCCTCAGTGTCTTGCTCAAGCTTCACCGATGCTAAATCTGTGGTGACCTGAAACACAATAAACCATTTATCAAACAAAAATGAGACTTTAAAATAATTCATATTAATACGTGAGTAATTAAATATACTGTGCTGTAACTCTACAGTATCTATGGGAATACAGCATCATATACCTGAAAATTATTGAGTGAACTTAATCTCTTTGCCTGTGAGTGATACCAATACTGTATACAAGGGCCAACCCCCACCCTACCACATTCTTTATTATAGGCTCATGGCATTCAAACTCTTGCCCACATCAGTGAGAAGGAATAACTCGAATCAAGTGTTTTTAGAATAAATGTCAGGTACAGTATTTTATTTTAATAACCCAAGCGAAGTTGTGTGCCTCAGTTACTGTTGTTTTCCAAAAATCTGAAAAGAATCTGTAAAACAAGAGTTAATTCATGGTAATTAAAGTTAACAGCCAAGAGAGAATAGTTTTTGCCAGCCCATAAAACGACTGTACAGTATTTATGGGAGTAAAAAAGACAAAGAAATTCTACATATACAGGGTATTTGATTTATACTAACATGGAGAAGAATTATCTTTACCTGTTGTTCTTCAGCTTCTTGTTCACTCAGCTGTGATTGTTCCACCATAAACTCACGTATTCTCTCCACCCACATGTACACAATGCTCTCACCAGCATTTTCTCTGTAAGTAACAAAATAATGTTAATGACTACGTACAGTATGTATATAAACTCGACTGGCTCGGCATTATAATAAGTTACTCATGGGTTCTTACAATTATTCAAAGTCTTTGTTAGGATTTTAAATTTGGAAACAAAAGAGAACACACCATGACACTCCAATAACAGCAAGTGTTCCCTCATATGTGTAAGTCAAGAGTGTGAAACCTCATGAGTCATTGAAAATACTGACACAACTGAATGTTATCTCATAAATATTTGCCTTTTCCGGGAAAGTGAATTTATTCTTTACCAAAATAATAAGTAGCTTGTTCTTCACAGATCAGCTATTTCAAGTTCTTACAGATATATATCCTCCAAGTATCCACACAGTTCCTGGCGCTTGAGTCCCTTCAGCCACGGTGCACTTAACATGTAAATAGGAGGAGATTCTCCCGGATAGTCTGGAGGCATTGTCACCTAAAAAAACAAAAGCATCGGTACAATGCTAACCCTTTTCTCACCTCTACTGTGTAGACACCCATCAGAGAACCTCCATCAATTCCTTCTACCAGTAGTTTTACTACTTGAACTTACACCTGTACTGAAACACCCAAATTCTAATAAATGTTCCTCTCCCTCACCTGGCTGAGTGCAGAGTAATCTATGCAGGTCACCATTAGGACTACAGGCTGTCCAAGGGGCCATTCAGGGAACAATATTTTTCAGTACCATAGTAATTACTGTACTGTATATCCAAAGGTTCTATTTAAATACACACCATTCAAAACAGTTTCTAGGTGGAATTCCGGGCTAAATAGCAGCAATATTGGACTTGATTCTAAAGTCCTCGACTGGATCCAAGCTTAAGCAATATCCTCCAAAACAAACAAATTGTCAACACATGCTTCACTTAGGCTGCCTGTGATGGAGTAATGGCATGCTTGAAGATATAAGGCTATTTGTGACACTAGAACAAGAATTCAACTATAGAAGCCTGACGACCTACCGAGACAGACCAGTGCCATGCTTACAAATTTTAATGTACAGCCCCATATCAACTTAATCTCCTGTATACTATAATTTATTCACAAATCCTGACAATTAAACCCTTAACATCAACTTGGAAGGTCCGTAAATAGTGTATAACTGCCCTTGTATAAAATAAGTAAAAAAAAAATATGATACACAACTTTACAATTTACTTTATATATGATATTTTTTTTATGATTCAGGGTTACATGTTTATAAAAATACAATAACAACAAAATATTTGAATAGATTTAAATATTTATTAAACAAATCCTTTAACTGATAATCTTCATAAAAATTCAAGATGAGATTATGGTCATGAAGAAAATAAGGGTTTATTCAGACGTTACAGTTTGGATCGCGGGGCTTCAGGGCTTAAACTCCATCATTTTAGAATTTCTTTCATGTCAATCTTACCTGTAGGAGAGACATCCATTCCCCTTCTGTAATGTCTACACTATAACACCTGTGCTCAGAGCTCTCTGTGTGGAAGTCGGTCCCATAGATGGAAGAAAGAGCCTCAATTTCATCAACCTGAAGATAAAATAAGTATCAGAATATTACTACAATGAGAGTCCCGGTATATCTAACTACTGTATTACTGTATCAGAGGGAATACTACGGTAAATAAATTCCTTATCTTTCCTGCCAAGTTCCGCTTCAGTTGCATCCCGCGGTCATTTTTCGTTAACCACCCCTCACCTTTTTCACATGAAGAAAATATATTTGTTTTCGCATTTATTTTTCTGTTTCAGGTGATTCTGTCATTTATCTTTGGGGCAAATCATATACAGTCAACCCTCACTTTACGCGGTCCCACATTTCGCGTTTCCACGTTTATGCGGTGCCCTGCCGGAACCCAGGATGTTCACATTCCGCGGTGCGTATACCCCTTTACGCGGAGAGTGTCCGGCTCGACGCTATTTTTAGATTCGCCCCACCCGCCTGCTCCCGCCTCCTCCCTCCTCTGCCTCCGCCTGGCCAAGCCGCGTGGTAAGGTTGCGCAGTGCATGTCTCTGTTGCGTTATCACTGACGTCATATGACGTATCGGACTGTGATTGGCCATGCATCCCTACCTCCCTCCGCTGCTAGCTGTAATTAGTTTAAAGTAATATGACGTGTCCACCCGGGGGAGGGAGGGAGGGAGGAAAGACGACGCTTGACCTAGCCGCAGCAGTTTCATCCCTCCAGGCCACACCGTGTAATCGTGCATCCATTGTTCTCTAAAATGGCTTCCGCCAGACCACCACCCCCAGAGAAAAACCTTTCCTTGCCTGGACCCAGCCGCCCTAAGCCCAAGAAGACACGACGTTCCTTAAGCTACGAGGTGAAGTACAAGATCATCCATGAGTTAGAGAAAGGAACAAGACAGGTTGATTTGGCACGCCAGCATGGTGTGAACGAATCTACGATCCGGACGATAAAGAAGGATGCAGCCAAGATAAAGGAGCACATGAAGATCACAAAGTCTACAGGTGCTTCTATGATCAAGTATTTTCACAACCAGGTGCTTCTCAAGACAGAAAAATTACTTGTGAGCTACTTGGTGCGTCAGGCACGACGGAACATGGCGGTCGACACGTGCTCTGTTAAGGAGTACGCACGTGAACTGTATGCTGCAGTGTCACGAAAGATGGGAATTACAGAGCCCAAACCCTTTAATGCTTCCTCTGGGTGGTTACAGAGGTTTAAGATGCAGAACAAGATCACCAATATAAACAGTGGTGGTGAAGAAGCCAGTGCTGACCGTGTTGCGGCTAGGGAATTTCCTCCGTTTTTACGTGAGATTATGGAGGAAGGACAGTACACCGACGACCAGGTGTTTAACATGGACGAATCTGGTCTTTTCTGGAAAAAGCTACCTTCCAAGACCTTAGTTGTCCAGTCTGCCAGCAAGATTCGGGGTCGGAAGTTGCAGAAGGAGCGCATCACCGTCCTCTTTACCACCAATGCCTCCGGTATCTGTAAACCAAAGTTATCGGTGATTCACACAGCCCGCAAGCCTACAAGAACGTGGACATGAGCAAGATTAATGTCCACTGGCTGACCGCACGCAAGGCGTGGATATTCTCTGCTCTGTCACTCTCCTGGTTTGATGACTGTTTCATTCCTGACGTGAAGAAATTCTGCGAGCAACAAAATGTTCCATTCAAGATTTTGTTGCTCCTTGACAATGCACCAGGACACTCGCCCCTACTGTTAGATCGTCACCCCAACATAAAAGTGGTCTTCCTTCCTCCCAACACTACGTCTATATTACAGCCCATGGACCAAGAGTTAATCTGTAATGTAAAAGCTGCATTCTCAACAAAAAAATTCCAGCTCCTGAACGACTACACCAACACCAGGGAAGAGTTGCGTAACCTGAGTGACACCACCACCGATAGCAAGAGCGAAGAAGACGAGGATCAACAGTTGGCAGAGCAAAAAATACTTTTCAAACAATTCTGGAGAATATTTAACATCAAGAAAGCTGTGGACTTCTTGGTGGAGGCATGGGATCAGCTGTCTGTAGCAACTGTTCGTCACGCATGGAGACATGTGTTGCAAGGCATTCCGGGCGTAAGGCAGAGTCAATCTGTGACTGGTGAGGTTCAGACTGTTACAGTAGCAGTGGACCTTGCCAGAGAAGCTGCGCAGAGTGTTACAGCTGCAGGCTTCTCCGAGACCACCAACGACGACATCCTGGAGGTGGTAAGGGATCCTGATGTGACTACCGACGAGATGGTAGATGATGATGACGTCAGTGAAGAGGCAGGTGGTGCATCATCCCAAGAAGAACGCCGCTTATCCCACAGTAATGTTAGGGGTGCCATCGAGTGTGTCGAGAAAATCAAGCTCCTCCTTTCCGACGACCATGACACAAACAGGTATGAAATCGTCACTACCCAGCTGTTGCAGACTATGGAGCCTTACTTCAAGGTTTATCACGATAATATAAACACCAGCCGTCAGCAAAGCATAACAGAGTTCTTCGCCCGCAACCCACCACAGCCAGCCCAAGCCAGTGATAGTGACAGAGGTAGAGACAGTGAAGATGACTTTGAGGGATTTGTCAGGGAGGCCCTGACAAGTGTGGATGACAGTGATGGCGACTCACCTGAGGGCCAGTAGCCTGCCCTCTGCCTTGGAACCAGCCTCCATCCCCGTACGCCAACCCATCTCTTCTACTTACGTAAGTGTTCAACCTAACTTTTAGTTTTCCTAACCTAACCTTTATTTTTCCTAACTTAACCTTTATTTTTCCTAACCTAACCTCTTCTATATTACTTGTGTGTGCATACCATCATAAAGTTAAGATAAAATTTTTACTACAACATAGTTGTGTGTCGTCAAAAAGTGGAGTTTGGGGGTCGGCCCGGTCTCTATTTCAATTAATCCCCTATGTTATGTTGTTCACTTTACGCGTTTCTCACTTTCCGCGGTACCCTGTGGGTTACATTAACCGTGTAAAGTGAGGGTTGACTGTATATATATATATATATATATATATATATATATATATATATATATATATATATATATATATATTCCCGCTCCAACAATGTAGGGGGCCACGTTGGGAATGCGGCGTTTCAGGTGTGTGTGTACGTGGGGGTGGGGGGGCTGAAAATGAGTGATTTCCACCATAAATATATGTCAGAATCACCTTAAACACCAAGAAAACTAGCAAAAAGATAAATTTTTCATGGGCAAAAAGTTAAAACTAAACTACCCTTATCTCACCTAACCTAACAGGCCACGTCCTAACCTAACAGGCTGCGTCCTACTTAGCAGGAGGGTGGAGCCATAACATCAAATTGTGACTTAGAAACATTTGTGATTATTACAATTAAATCGTGAATATCTCGTTTATTTTTGGAATGCCCCACCAAGAGATATGTTAATAGTAATTGAAAAAAATTGTAAGAAGGTGATGGGTGGTTAACGAAAAATGACCCTTCCAGCCTTGTCAGTTTCACTAAATTCCAAGCTTTGGCTTTAATATTCTTACTAACCTGTCTGCCTAAGTTATTCTCAGCCATGATGATATCGTCTCTGGATGTATCACTCAGTGTCACCCTTAGTGAAGCTGCCACCAACCAGACCAATACTTGTACTGGACACAAACTTTTCCTTTTCTGGTGCAATATTTATCAATCTCTGAGGAATTTACCAACAGGTATTTACTTTATCATACGTGAACTGTGTTGTTAACGTACTTATCTCTGGGGAAGCCTTGCATTACTTTGATTTAGCGATAATAATGAACACTTTATATACTCAGGAAACATATATACCTATAATAAAATATAATCCCCATCGTGGCACATATTATCATTGTGGTCCTCAGGGAAAAGTGTGTAAATATTGAGTGATAAACATGTTAGAAATTACAGATTGGAATTATACCGAGACGTGAAGACATTTTTAAAAGGTACTTATTAAAAATACCTCAATAATAATGAGTCTGGAAGTAATAGACGAAAGACAATTATGTGTAATTTAAGCCGCACACGACAAAAGCTTTATCGTACGCTTAAGGCAACAGTGATGTCCTCAGTGTGTTTATGATGTCAGCTGATGAGGACTTTTAAACCGGGTTTTAATGTTCCCTTTAAATATTATTTTCAGAATTAAAATATGTAGTTTTCCTCTAAATTTAAATAGGTTTATAGCTATTGATACAAAAATGTATTATTTTTATACATATTTGGTGTATATATATGCTAAATAATTATAAATAAAGAAGTTTACATAGTCTTGAACAAGTATTTGGCCTGTGGACGCCCCCCATTATTTACAGGACCAAATGATCTAATTATTGGAGAAGAATGTTTGTATATATTGTCTGAGATCCCTGATGACAAAAAATACAATATACATAAACAATTGAAATATTTCTAACTGTTAATCAATAAAATGGGCCGAATTCTCCTCGCAACATTAATTATCACATCAAGTAATTAACTCTATTTGACACTAACAGCTGCGCAGTAGAATCTGAATAATCTGATCTTACGACTGTGGAAAGAACTGTTAGTAGGGATTAAATTAAGATATATTAAGAGTAGAGAAGGTGACTAATAGTAGAGTAGACACAACACTCCCCGGTGTGGTAGAGGCTCACAGGTGCACGTCGGCCACAAACCAAAATAGCCGCCGGGCCGCAGCTCACTAACAACGATGGTAACTTCTTCATTTATACTGAATCTATTGTTTAATATAGATTTTTAGCTGTAGGAGAATGTTATATTAATGTTGTGCTGGTGATAATTTCCAGTTGTGTTGTTGATTTTTAACTATAAGAGATGACGAGTGATTGACATGACATGTTATTGTAGGTCTTTTAAATTTACTCTGTGTTTATTGTTTATTTTATAGTGAAGTAAAAACTGTAGCTGTAATAATGTGTTTCAGAAGTGCAGTGTTTTGATTATCGAGTTTGTTAGTACTGCTGTTTGGAAGTCTTGTTAGGCTGTTTTATTTAGTATTATTGATTAAACTTTCACCAGGTCCTCTCACATGATGATTATGTTGATGATTTAATTTGTTTGCTTAATCTTGGTACTGCTTGAAACAAACGGGTCAACATTCATCTTATGTCCATCTGTGAATTCTGTTACATAAGTTTTTTCTTGTTGTTCAATGATGTGGAGCTAATGTTTATTTTTTGAGATACAACCATGATTTGTACAAATGGGCAGGGCTTTGAAGAGGAGGATAAATGTGGGTTTAAAGCACACACTAAAATTATCAGAATAATTTTTGAAAACCTGACCTAACCTTTCATAACCTTGGGATCATTTTTAGTGTTTAGGTCACAAAGGAGCCATAACGAGGATGAATATATCTATAAATCCCCCAAGACTTGAAATGTTCTCTTATTGGTCAAATCAGATCGTTTAAAGTTCACAGGAAAGAGATTTGAATATAATATTACGTGAAAATGTGTTTAGCAAACGAAATGTAAATTCCAATTCGCAGTGTACAAAACCGGGTTCACAGAATCATTGTCGTTTTTTTTATGAGATAAGAAGTTAAATACTGTAGTTAAACCAGCTAACTTTTTGTGAAGCCATCATATACTGAATATATTTGTATACTATATGTTTCAGGCAGTTTTTGGTGTGCAGTTGGTGGTGACGATGGTGACGGCCAGTGTGCTGTCTCGCATCACACCGCATTACTCATTAGCACGGTGGTTGCTCTGTGGCACAGGGTAAGTCATAACTTTGGTCAATCTCATATTTATACAAAATATATATTAAGTTCAGAGTATTTCAGAATTCAATATTTTCCAGCACTGGGGCTCCTAGACATAGTTAATGCTTTTGGACAGTATCATAGTGGCTCTGATGTTACCCTCAGCTTAACCAGTTAGTGTAATGTCACTTTTTGTTCGTTGCACACATGGTCAAGCATGTGGAAATACCTGAGGAAACTTTAACTGCCAGTGAAAACTGGTGTACCACTTTAGGTGATGACAAGGTTTCCATAATAAAAGAAGGTACACGAGGCAGGTGTGGAATGAGTAGCCTTGCATCAGTCATCAGCTTCTCACTGTAACCCTTCATCACTTTCATAAGATATGTTTTGGGACTGGTCTTCCCCCAGTTAGTCTGATATTACTAATTCCTTCTATTGAATATACTGTAGTATTGTATCATAAATCTATCGGTAAGTTTCTTTTATTTTATGAATACAATACAGGGTAGATTTTTATCATGTGCTTAGTATTTAGTTTAAATTTGGACAAAACTGGAGCCCTTAGTGTTCTCTTTATGGCATGGTCTTATAGTTTATTATTTCATTGAGTCTTTAGTAGGAGAATAAACCCTCCATATTTGTTATACTCTCACACAACAGACTTATATACTATCTACACCCTACTGATGAGGAGCTGCGGTCCCTGGCAGGTGTTCCTAAAGATAAGGGCAAAAAAGGTAAAGGGGGAGGCAAAGGGAATAGCAAAGGAGGAGGAACGGCTGAAGATGATGGGACATTTACAGTACCTCGTACTCTAGACCTTACCCTGGAAACATCACGTATGGTCCCGGGTGAGGTGATGCAACTCAAGTTTTACACGGAGTACCAGTGGCTCCTTGACTTCTCTCTCTGCTCGGCAATAGTTTATATTATTACAGAGGTACGTACGAAGTGAAGGATTTATTTGTTTTTAGTTTAGATTCAAAATACTAAGATAACGTTAGATAAATTTGGTAGTAAAAATTACTTTGTTTTAATTGTACAAAAGATTCCACATTGTGTTTTTTATTTTTCCTGAGGAAGGTATCCAAACCATCTGCAAGCAAAAAGCAGATGCTTACAAGCTGTGTTTGGAAATGCTGTAGTTGAAAAAAAAAATGGATAAATGTAGTTTTGTGTTAGTTTCAACAAATATTGACTCAAGAAAAAACCCAGACCACCTGATGTTTTGACACCTCAGCTTATTTTGCCTGAAGCTTAGCCGTCCTAACTCTGCCTTGGGGGGTTAGGTTAGTGTTGGGATGGTTCAGTTTAAGGTGAAATAAGTTTGCATGCTTAATCTTCAGGTGGTGAAAAAAAAAACTTACTCTGGGTCATAGTCATTGCCAAGGTTACATAGTCTATGCTTCTGTTGTATTCCTTCAGGTTAGGATTGAAATTTATAGTTACATCTAATATGCTTTTTGGAAATGTTACACCATCAAGCAACTTATCTAATACACTGTTTACAACCCCTCATGGCTCCTTATCATCTCGTACTTGGCTGGTTGGTACTGTAAATCTCCTTCATGATAATTCTCAATCGGTATGAAATGTAGAAGACAACATAGAGGTGTACAGGTATTTGCATTCTGGGGTCACAAGGTCAAAAGTCAAAGTTGCTGTTTTTGGGAAGTTATTGAAGGATCTTTTTACACATTTTTCTTGTTTGTTATTTACAGATTTTTATGGCAGTGGCTCCCCCTAAAGCTGAGGTGAACCTGAGTATGTTGTGGTGTCTACTGGCTGTTGGCTTTTCATTGTATCCTTTTATTAATAGCGATGTCAGTATCAGAATGATAGGTGTGTTGCCAAGTTTATGCTCCACACAGGTAATTAAAATACTCCCAGTTCTTTATGTATTTCTGTTTAGTGTATTAGGTGTTAAGTGAGTATGGTGAGACAGTAGTAACAGGAGCAGACCATCCCGTACAGTTGTAGGAATCAAGAACTATATAGTAGTACAGAAACTTTTTTTAAGTCTTCTAAAGTGTTAAGGGATGAAGTCCTTTAGTATCCAGTACACTGTATATGCAAGTTTAGGAACTAGTGCAGTAGTTGGAGTTGCATGTAGTTTTAGCCACTATTTTATATTTTAACAGAGATCGGTGTTTGTTAAAGTGATGAAATTGTACTGTACACTATTTCTAAATCTCTAAAAGTGGTCAGTGGAATTTTTTAGATTTTTTAGCAATGAAGAATTTTGGTAGAAATAAATACATGAAAGAATAATTAGATATAATTATAACTGCATTTTTCATTATTATGGCAGGAGACTTAATGACCAACATAGGCATTGTTTGTTTTTTTTATTCCAGATTGTAATTTTTTTTATGTACTGTATATAAGTTTATGTACTGTACTCTCTTAATTACTGTTGGTTTTATTGCCTTAACATAAGCCTCAGTAAAATCATGTTCTCCCTCTCAATGCTGTATTTCCGAGGAGAAGACTCTGGTGGGGAAAAGGCTATGGTTGTCCTCTCCTTCTTCACTTACCTCCTCATAGCCCTGGGCATGTTGATCCTCGATGAGAGCAAGTTGGAGTTGGGCCTTGACTTGGCATACTCATCATTCAATTCTAGTGCTGCAGCATTCCTCAAGGCACAAGGCTTGCCATCAGAGTTAGTCATCACTGAATTTCAGTATGTGTAATGTAACACCTAAAAATTTAAGTGCTATAAACTCTGCTTCACAATGGTAATACAGCTGTTTCCTACATAGACCTGAACCTGAAAAGGATGTTTGAGGTCTGTAAAAATCTTAAAAGCTAACATGTCACACTGTCATGTAATGTAGAGTAAAGGATAACTTTAATGAATACAGAACAGCTAGTTATGTTTACAAAAGACACATACTCAGAGCAAGAACATTCACATGGTAAACACAGTACAGGTACACCTTGCCATACACTGGACATGCAGTCTTCATCTGTGAAAGGTCTTACTGTTAGCTTATATTGTCCCTTTTTCACAGCATCTAAGATCTTCCAATTAATAATCAGTCAGCTCAAATTTAATGAAGTCTTTACTTCCAGCGGTCCAGCATCTAAGGTGACATTTAAGATCATCCTTGCTGTGTTGTGTGCGTTGATTGGCGCCTTCTTCACGTTCCCTGGACTCAGATTAGGCAAGATGCACTGGGACTCTCTAAGGTAGATTGCTTGTTGTGTAGTTTGTACTGTTAATTTTCAGGGTTGGCACAGTGATGTTTTGAGATGGAAAAGAGTATAAATGGTTGGTAAATCATCCTGAATGTAATGTTTAATATAAATAGCATATTAAAAAAATATAAACAGGACTGAAAATATATAAAACTTATTAAATCAAATACAGGTATAATAAGATTTAAACCAGAAAACCCCCAAAACAAGTTTTTGTTAAAAAAAAAAGGATTTATTTATTTGTTTTCAAACAATGGTTTTTACCAACCCTGTTTTTTCAAGGTCCCCTTTTTTTGTGTTTATGTGTTATTGTGGATATACTTAAATAGTTAGACATTTAATTTCAGTTCTGAGAAAAAGTTCTTTTTCCTATAATTTTTTCCTAGAATTAACCTTTATCTCATTGATTTTGTTCAAAATCTCAACATGCCGATTAAGGATCTGTTGTCGGCAGTTTAATATCTGTATAATTAAATGTCCAAGTGACATCTAAAAAATTTGTATTACTTTATTTTAGTTTATTTAATAGTTGGTCTCATATACCACTATAAGAATTACTTTGGGAATAGTCAAGGACTTAAACTATTTCAGTTTGTTTTTTATTTCCCCAGATTGTGCTCTACCATTACAGGGTCATAATTAATGTTACAGGTACTGCACTGAGAATAAGGTCCTGAGACTGTTCTTCCATATTAGTTTTATTGCCCCACTGTTCCTGGTGACAATGTGGATCAAGCCGATCTCAAGACGGTACTTCACAGAATACACTTGGCCAGGTCGTAGCCATCCCTTGTAAGTAGTCTAGTGAGAAGGACTTTTTACCACTTGTCTAGTTATATATGTGTTAACTTACAAATCTAGTTGGATCATTTCAACAATTGACTCTAAAATATATGCTTGAACTTTGTACTTTATGGGGATTACAGTTACATGTCATAATTTGTTAGGGATTTGCCGTACTTCCTGTAGCTTATTTCAATTTATCATTTGCCATTTTGGTAGTGTTTATCTGAGAGGTGTTTGTTACTATATATTCAAGAGCTGCCTTATAAACAAATCTGCCTCTTGTCATTGAACCATTAATTAGATGTACAATATTGTATTTGATTAATGTAAAGGAGCTATAGTGGGCTGTTTGCTATGTTCTTGTATCTATTTTCTCTTGATTCTCACTTTTTGTACAGTACATAAGTTCTCTGAAATTTCAAGAGCAATACTGTACGGATATGAGGAAAATTGATGAAAACGGCTAATTTAGGTGGGAGGAAACTCTTGGTAAATTCTCTACATAAGTATATAAATGATACAAGATTAAAGTACATACAGTAATCTCCATGATTTCCTAGGAAGAATTTCATTCTGTCTCCCCTCAACACTGCTTTACTCCATATAATGTTTCTTTCCCATAGCATGAGCTCAGACATGTTTGACATTGTGCGCATTATACTGATCTTACTGGTGAGTGTAGTGAGGTTGGGCCTGATGCCTTACTACCTGCAGTCTTACCTCAACCTTGCCTATGAGAAGATTGAGGCTCAGAAGAAAGAGTCTGGCCGCATCACCAACAAGGAACTTCAAAAGAAGGTTCGTTATTGTGAATACCAGTGTGTGCTTATCCCAAACCCAGATTGCACCCATAGAGATGCATCTGTCAACCCACGAGGACTGTTTAGAACAATGGTTCCCAAACTTTATGGCATGAGGCCTCTCCTTTTGGTTTTCACCAAACCCTCATGCCCCCAATTTTTCAATTGACTAAATTTTATGATTTGTACCTGTACAGTACCAGCATTTATATATTTGTTATGGTGTACTAACTTGTAGAGGTATTGTATGGCAGAGAATGTTGGTGTTTGTGATATGTCTAGCTGTTAAGTTAGGTTCTAGCTGAATTTATAATTGTGTGAATATTTTAGTAGAATTCAACATTAAAAATTATTTGTTTACATGGCCTCATGGCCCCCACCCCCTTTACTCACCTTGCCCCCCCCCCCCCAGGTGTATAATCTTAAGTTGATCTCAATATACTGCATTTTAAATCAAGCTCCAAGTATTTTGCCCTAAAAACACAGAAATAATTAAAAATATCCCAAAACTATTCCACTCTCCCTTTTTAGGCTATCTCTGAATGTGACCTTCCCTTCATCCAACTTATTCATTCATCCTTCTCCTCCATTTATTTCACTTATACTGTATTTACATGTTAGTCATCCATCCCATAACCTTTTACTGTTGTTGTGTTAGATGAGGATGATGATTGGCATCTCTTTCTTACAGATAGCCCGGGTGTTTTATTACCTGTGTGTCGTGACCCTTCAGTACGTCGCTCCGATAATTCTCTGCCTCTTCCTCTCCCTCATGTTTAAAACACTAGGTGAGATTAAACTCTTCTTCTTCTATCTATATGTGTGTGTGTGTGTGTGTGTGTTTGTTTTATAATTGTACCTGGCTAACCTACACAGACATGGAAAATGGGCGTAAAAGTGGTGGTGATGATCCATTTCTCTTTTTGTGTCATTTATTAAGAAACTATTAAATTATATACCTGTATCTTAGAGAATTGGACAATATATAGTTGTTTTAAGAAGGTACATAATGTTCCCTGATTGTAATATACTACTGCACTAAAGTAATGTAAGGTATACAGGCAATCCCTGATTTATGAAAGTTAGGTTTAGAAAAATGTGAAGTTACGAAAAAGCAAACCTAATTTTGTCCCTTGTTTTGATGTATACTCTATGTGAAAAGTCAAAAGTCATGAACTAATCACTGTTTTTGTAATTTTTTTTACCCAAGTACAGTACACTAATAATGAAAATATGTTAAAATAATGTAATTTTTTTTACTACCAATACATTTACTTATTTTATTATTCTCTAATGCTCGTAGTGTTATTAAGTCTACAAATAAACTGTCAATGTGTCATGATGCTCCTGTAATCATCATATAACTTAATCCTCAAACTCACTGGAGACAAGTAGTCTCGTCTCCACCAGTAGTCACTCAGCCAGTTGCCTCACTGTGCAATATCTCCTCATATACTGTACTCACATGTAATGTGTGGAAAATTAAAATTATTCAGTACAATAAAAGTTTACAAGTTGTAAGAGTAAATGTGATATATGGAAGTGAACAAAAGTATGGAGGTGTGGATATTGTCAGCAAGGCTCTTGAGTGTAAGTGTAATCTCGGCGCCTGTACCATGCAAACGATGCAGCAGTAATTTATAATGATGCAACAACTCATGAGTAGTTGAGTGTACTCTTTCCTTTAATTTTTAGATAACTTATCTCTTATTATAGAATGGGAATCATTGTATTACGACATATGTATTATAGATGTTGACTGAGCATTTCATAAAATTCACTTGGTTTATAACTCATCCAGTTTCTTATAAGTACAGGTGTAAAGTTATTTGTGTGCTGTACTGCATGTTCTGTGCAGTATGTCACTTATATTTGTTATGACCAGGATGTTCATGTAGTTCCAGCAGTTTTCATTCTCATAGTTATGCTCTGGCAAGTTGTTTTCAATTAATTTCTTGCTCTTATCAATTGTCTTTCCTTGATTGTATTTCGAAAGTCCTTTGAAATGTTTAAGCTAATGTTCTTGTCTTTCTCAAAGGCAACTGGCATTTATGTGCACTAGTTACAAAGCAGAAATAGTCCTATACTGTACAGATTACCATAACTATATCACTCACAGGAGGACTCAGCTGGGGAGCATTACTGGGGAGAGCCATTGAGCCAGAGGAGTGTGGGTTGACCCCAGACTCTGAAGGTGAGGCAGCAACAACTATTCCCACCCTGCAGGATGCTCAGACTGTCATGGAAGCCACAAAAATACTCACTCTAGGAATGGAGGAGCTGAAGAAGGTATGGCATCTTTTAGTTGTGTCAGTCAGTACTAATTATGAGTGAGTAAGGCCTTATTCTATTTTATTTGAAATCTTTCATAGTAATATCAACTTTTGACAGTATACTGTATATTTGTTTATCATCCATACTAACATCTTCACTCTAGTTAGGTGGAGAAGGTGCTTCATGTAGCTTCATAAAACACTTATTGTAGATATAATTGTCGTCAACCTACATTTAGTCATTCAAACACAATGGATAATATGTCCATTGCATTTGAAATTTCCATAACTTTTCATATTATACAGTAAATGGTTTTGTTAGTGCTGTACTTATCTTAGTAATATCTAATGTAGAATTTCAGGAGATGTACTTTTATATAACCTGTCTCTGACCAACACCCTCATGGTTGCAGGTTTTCACCACAGAGTTCTACCGTGGTGTGTTAGGGTTCACAACATGGTGGTGCGTCTTCTCGTGGTTCCTCTCTGGCACGTTTGGTGTCGCATACCAATCATATTTTACAAAGGCATAAAAAGAAGTATTTATTGATTGTGTATCTCTTACACTGAATGTAAGAAGCATTTTACGGAGAGTACCTATGTCATGCTTTGTGTATCAGCCATATATTTTAACAAAGCTAAACGTAAATAATATTTATATACTGTATTATGCATCAGCCATATTTTACTCAAGGAAAAAAGACATAGATCTATAAATGTGCAGTAATATTTGTTTGTCATGTGTAATAGTGATATCTGAATGTATTTTTAGATCTCAGACTGCAGTAATTGTTTTTAAATGAATATTCTGTACTGTATTGTGTAATGTGTCAAAAGTATTTTAAAACTTCCTCACTGTGCATCACATGTTGTACGCTTCTTCATGCCTATTCAGTAGGAAAGCACAGATAGGGTCTTCCTGAAATATTTCCCTTTTTAACTAACCATCGCCACACCACACGTTAAAGACCTAACAGTAACTTTCCTCAAGATGGCTGCATTTGAAAGAATTTGTAGATGATGGAATGGCCTTGTAGGGGACTAACTTAATTCTAAGGATAAGGGCACCACTACCTGTCTTGCTCCTAAGAGTTCAAGATTTTTTGTCAAATGTTCAGGTCACAGCAGAAGGTCAGTGTTTGATTTGCAACAAGCATTTTATGTATAGTACCACATTATAGGTAAAATAATTATTGGTACATTGTCTTTCTTATCAAGATAACTGATGCTTGCTGGCAGAGTTATTTTATACGATAGAATTAGTAAAGAGAAGCATAATTAATGGCCTCTACTTATGGAGGAGTACTTATAAGAACTTTATAGGAGTACTGTACTGTAAATTTAATATGGATATCACCATTACTAAAAATATTAGCCTGAAAATTAAAGAACCTAGCCATTTTATAAACTGAAAGTGTCATTGTAAGATGTGTGTTAAATGTGGGGACAACTTGAGGTTCAGTATGCAGGCTAACAAGATTTCTGTTTTCATTTTTACCCATTACTCCTCTAGTATCATGCATATTGTGTTTATTAAGAAAAACTAAATATTTTAAAAGAAAAACACGAAAGTTTTTATAAGAGTTTCATAATTGTTTAAATTTGTGTAAGAATGTCAACATATTATACCTGTATACAGGAGACTTTATAATCATCAGTCTTTCTTGATAGCTGAAAATAATAAAATTAAATAATAATAATAATAATAATAATAATAATAATAATAATATAGGTTTACAGTTGGCTAGGGATGTATGTAAACTATTTAGTTATACAGTTCAGCATGAATATAGGTAATGTAGGTACAGTATATGATGCATGTACTGTAGGCTGTGGGAGTATGCAGTTTCCTATGTGCCTAGACAATACAGGTATACAACAATGGTAAACAGTAAAGTAATTTGGCCAATGATAACCAACAAGCTATCAGGTAGTTATTTCCAGGAGGGTCCTTTGTACAGAAACATATTGGTGAATGATAAGCTAATTCAGATTTCACCAGATTGGAATTAAAGATGTCTGTCTACAGTATATGATGTGAGGTGGTACAGCCTTTTGTGTATGTACTGTATGTAATATTGTACTCATGGGCGGTCATTAATACTTAATGCTGTGGTAGATATATGTTAACTTTATGTACGGTATATTGATATGAAAACTATTCAGTATCAGATAAATTGAAAGCCAAAGGCAAGATTCATTTTACAGTACTGTACAATAGTTTTGGGTGTTACACGTTTTTTATTTTAATTTGGCCATGAAATAATTGAGCTTCCAAGACAGAGTTACTCAGTTTTTCTAGTTTTATTAAGACTTCATAATTTATTTTGTGCTGTGTAGAAGTTTAACTTTAATGGTTGTTGTAATGCCTGGGCTTGTGGCTGTCTGTAGTATCTGCAGTTTGTTTGTCTTTGGAATTCATATTTCTGACACAATTCATTGTTAAGTGATTCAAAATGATGTGCATGGTTAGATTTTTATCTATGATATTATTTATTTATTTTTTAAAGTATTACATCTCTGACCAGGATTGTAATACCATAAGCTTCTCTCTCTGCTTCCAGGGTACATACAGGAAATGAAAAGTTGATGAGTTAAAAGTATCAGTAGTCAGCAGAGTTACGCACAACATACGAGTCTTCAATCTGAACGCTCACAATACTGCCGCTGTATTCATACACTGCCCTCTCACTTACCCTCTCACTTAACACGGGTTTGTTAAACTCGGATTCACTTGAACACTTCTTTCTTTTTGTTTTTAACTATAGTATCATTTAGCACGGGGCTAAAATTTGCTTTAACGTGGGTTGAGCTGGACGAACTCGATCGGGTAAAAATTTTTTTGGGCCAGCGGTCAAGTACATTACAGTCCATTGGTAGCATCCCCATGTCTTGTGGGTTAGAGTTCAGCTAGTGCTCAGTCCGGCCACATCCAAAACTTTGCGTGGTTTAACTTCAGTTTTTTTTGCTAACTTTCATCACCATGGCTCCACCTAAATGTTCTCTGAGTGCCCCTCTGCCTAGGGATGCTCCAGCAAAGAAGAGCAAGACCAAATTTACTTTAGAAAGTAAGTTGGACATTCTTCAGTGACCTGATAGAATGAAGACGATCCACCTAATGACGTCTCCACACAGTTGTTAACCTCCAACCAACATCCTACACCACCATCATTCTTCATAACCCTTCTTAAGAAAATCAACACTCGTAGGTCAAAAACATAAAATGAATGTAAACTTTTCTTCGTGCACCAGCGAGATTAAGCATGAGTTAATGTTACAGTATGGTTATTTTTCAACTCGTAATTTCAAGTTGATAGACTTAACTTTTTTTTATTCATTTACATCCTACATACAGAATGGGCAAGAAAAATAAAATAATGTAATTTTTCTGGGAACACAACCCCCATGTTAAGTGAGGTGGGCGGTGTACAGTACTTTATTAAGCCACTCAACCGTCATTCTTTACTGTATTGGGGGACTTATGTGTCCTGGACCTTATATATAAATTGCTGCTCTATGATGCAGTGTTATGGATAGTTTACTGTAGTTTATAATGCTTGAATGATGCATTTTGTACATTATGCTTTTATATGACATAATGTACCTTTTAACTGATTTATGTGACATAATGTATTTTTTAACTGAGAGCTTACATTTTTTATTGTAAATTAATGTACAAGGAATTAGTAATTGTCAGTTAATGTACTTTTTTAAATTTTTTACAACTTCCTCCAAATGTGTGAGAGATCCATAAAGCTTTTTATACTTTGTTAACTTTTATTGTGTCTACAGTATAATTGGTTTTGTTCTTTTATGTATTGGAGATTCTCTTATGTTTAAATCAGACCCACCTTAATGTTGTTCACTGCTTATGTGGGATTAATGTACAAACTTGATTACCACTGAGGTATATCAACACTACAATGATCAGTAGTAAAAGCAGTGCTGTTGATATGAATTTAGGAAGTACTGTACAGAGTCATGGTAATCAAAAGGTTCAATAAATGTTGCAGGATATTTGTAACGAAGCCACTGTAATGTGTTTGGTAATGATCAGAGGCTCAATGACAGTGAGGTGGGAATACAACAACTCATTGCAATGTTTAGGAAAGATTGTATTTAATATGTAACCTGAAATGTTTTAGGATAATTTGTACAGTACATATGACCTGAAAATTTAAGGATGATTCTCCTGGTACCCTGAAATGTTTTGGGAAGATTTTATTTGTGATCTGAAATGTTTTGAACAAATTATACATGTGACTGAAACCTTAAGAAATTGCTATGCACTGTACTTGGACCCCACTATAGCCATGGGGGTAACAGCCTGACAGTACTGTATACAGATTGCTACATTACTGTACGTGTATATATATTTATACAGTATCGTAATTTATTATTTTAACCTTCCCCCCCCCCCCCCCAAATAATTTCTGCATTCATGTACGCCAATTGATGTATGTCATATGAACAGTATTACATTGCCACTTCCCCTCCGAGCCTGTACAGTTGATCGTATTGTACACTGTAAGTCTTTGGGGATCACTGAAGATTATCCTCCAGCTTATTTCATCTCAAGATCAAATATCCTAATCTAACTGTAACTTTACCTTACCTAACCTAACCTAACTTTACCTAGCACTAACCTTACCTTACACTAAGTAACTTTACCTTACCTAACCTAACCAAACCTAACTTTACCTAGCACTAACCTTACGTTACACTAACCTTGCCTAACAATAACCTAACCTAACTTTACCTAGCACTAACCTTACCTTACACTAACCTTACCTAGCACTAACCTTAACAAACTGAATACTGTACTAATCTATTCTAACCTTTCCTAACCCAACTCTCCCAGGTAGCATAAAAGGTGTTTAATCATCAAGTGAAATAAACTGGGGGTGTTAATCTACAGTTGATCCATCTTTGAAACCTTGTGTATTTGTCATATTCTTCCATCTGTGCTTAACAAAATACCCAAGGTTGTAGTCCATATGTAGGAACTGGTTAGTCAGCAATGTTGAATGAATGTATCGGGACCTTGTGTGTATGTGTGTAAAAATTAACTGTATATAACAACTGGGGAATGTCGAGATTTGGAATAAAATGAAGTGAATATTTGTCAATTTTTTAATATATCTTCTGTGCATTATCCTGAAAACTTTGTACCTTTCTACTTGTATTCTTTATCGGTAATTCTGCTTAAGCCCGGTTCACACTAGACCATTTTGACGTCCATCACTGATGATGATAATCTTCACTACGCCTTCTTCCTCGCAGCTACACGCAGAGGCCCCAGCTAGGAGAAGAGAATGGTCACAGCAATTACTAATTAAGAGGACAATTAGTGTTGAATTTAGACACTTAATGAAGAGGAAGAAACAAAATGAGCCTGCTTCATTTTATTTACTGTACAGTATTTAGTATTTGATATGAGAACAAAAAATTCTGTTGTATTTTAGTCAAATATGACCTTTATTTCTTGTGAAAATGATTGTTTTGGGGTTTTTGTTGATTAAAAAAAAATTGCTCATTTGCACAAGAAATGACGGTCATATTAGAATAAAACAGTCGTAGTAGTTGTAGTATAATGACATCAACAGAAACAAGAGAATTTTATCTTTTCGATCAATAGTTCAAACAATGGTAAGACACTTTTTTCTATGATGTTTCCCTCGCAAATAACCTATACAGGGTATTATTATTAGACATTTAATTAAGGTAATACTCTGTTGGTTTCTTTAATACTACGGTAACACCTCTAAACTTATTCAAAGTCATTTAATTCCGCCATTTAATCATTCAAAGTCATTTTAGTCCAATATTTAAATGTATTCAGGGAACTTTATTTACATCCGTTTTCTTAGTTGCAATAAAAGAAAACGATACTTTTGTACGGGAGGACTTAATTACTTTTTTTATTATGGTTGTAAGATATAGCAATTATTTGACTTTAGTGAACTTTATTATATTTTAACCTCTTGGCCACTGATAGGGAGGTCGGTCACGTTTCCGTTAGGTACTGACTGTGTTACGCTCTGTTGGTGTTGCGGGCATGTAGTGGCTCTGTTGTGCACTCTGGGCATGTACTAGCTCTCTTGTATTTACCACACACCGATGATCATGTTCTTCGGGACCCCTGATCATGTTCTTCGGGACCCCTGATCATGTTCTTCGGGACCCCTGATCATGTTCTTCGGGACCCCTGATCAGTGGCCAAGAGGATCCAAAAGTTGTGTATGCCGCCACCGCCTTGGCCCCCACCCCTCATGTAAACATAGAGACGACTCCCTCCAGGCCCGGCAGATACAGTTTACTGACTGGTCTTTAAACATGTAAACGGGACAGTGCCATGTAAACACCAAAAGACACGAGAAATACAGAATTTGGCACAACAAGACGGTACAGTACAATATTAAGTTCAAGTTGGGGAGGAGGGAGACAGGCATTTAGACTGACTTGACAACGCAGTTATCATTAGGTATTATACAAAATAAGTTAACAGTTATTGGCTAGTTCACACATACAGGAGTTTTTCAAGTTTAGTAAATTTATAAGAAGTTTACCAGAGATGTTCTGAAATATTTACAGAGAAAACGTGGGTAATACTCTGGAACGACCCCGAGTTAACCAGTAAATTAAGAAGAAAAAAATATAGGCTCGGGGTGGTCATTTTAATGGCCATTTTGAAAAAAAATGGTATAAAACTGTACATCGTTTGATTATTTGGTTGGCTATAATGAATAGGTAACATTCTAGAACAGGGTCCTGGGTAACCAGTTGCCTAATGAAAAATTCTTTAATATCTAGTAAGTAAACCAAATTGGTTGGAGGGATAGTATTTTTTTCATTTTTTTCGTAAATGAAGATGCTCCGTGCCTCCCCAAAACAATGCCATGTTTTTGCTTCAACTGTTTACATGAACAGGAATATTTCATAATCGTCAAACCTTTTATTTCACACTCGCTAAGAAGTTTTCTCTGAATATCATTGTACAATATGCACAATACATAATTTGGTTTTCTTGTTTTACAGGTATCGATGAATTCAGCACGCGAGAGCCACGAGGCTTTTGTGAGTGGCCACAGTGGGTCATCAGCCCCTGACCTTATTCTGGCTGTGACCCCGGCCTTCCCAGCTTCTGCACTTGCTGTATTAATTATACGAGGACGAGCGGGATGGTGAGTGAAACAAACTGTACAGTAATGGTCAAAACAACTGGATGGCAGTCAGTGAAATCCTTAAAAGGAAAACATGTAAAGAAGTTGAGTCTTAACTAGCAACATCATGAAGAACATTGTTGACATTCATTATAATATCATTGACTCATGATATTTTTATAAAGGAATTATTAATTTAACTTGCAATTTGCTCACCAGGACCATCTTAACCTAACTTAACCATCCATAATCATAATGTAAACAAACCATAATCTCACCTGATATAACTTGATGTATCCGTAACACACCTTATCCTTATCTAACTTAACCTAACTGATGTAATTCAACCTTAACCCATTGTATTTTAGGTTACAGTTTAATTAGTTGAATCATTTACCTTCATTTACTTTTCATTTCAGGTTGTGGTATTTTTTGGACAGTTTTTTAATTGTTGTTCCACTGACGCTGAGTTTCACGGTTTTGGCAAATTACACCCTGGAGCTGAGTACGCTGTTTACAATTCTTGTTGGAGTAGCCATAAGCCTCACCAAACCAGAGAAGATAACAGTTCATAATGATGCTAATAATAAAAAGGTTTGTATTGTATATTTGGATAATGATGTGCCCTCTTTTGGATCATGTGAAGATTAACACCCCCCCCTCCCTCCCACAGCTTATTTCACCTGATGATTAAGCACCCTAATGCTACACAATGGACCTCAAGAGACCTACATAGTAATTTGCGTTCCCTATGAAACCCCACAATCTATAAGACTGAATGAGTCAGTGAAGTAACTTACCTTGACTGTCATCTGGTTCAGATGTGCTGTTTTATCTCATATGGGGTCATACTGCATCAGTTTGGGAGGCCCAGGGAGAAGGCAAAAATTTTTTTGCAACTGTACCATGCTAACATCTGGTTCCCTTGACCCGATCTGTTTTTTTCGGTAACAAATCTCTTGAAATATCATATTGTCAACCCTGATCTTGCTATCAACTGCCTCTGTATAGATATTTGATTTCTACTAATAAGCTAACCCTTATTGTCTGAAGAAATATATGGAATACATTTGTAATTGTATAATGTACTGTACTATATTTAATTGTGAATTGTACAATGAAAGACAAAAGTCGTGTCGTGAAATTTGGTGAAAACGTATGCCGAAGGGTAAAACTTTTGGTGCGCTCTGCCTTGTGGTAGGGGGCTCTCATAATGTTTCACAAGTTATATTTAATCTTCGGACAAAACCGCGACACTATTTTTGTCTTTATTGTACATGTAGTTAATACAATTATCAGTTTTTTCTGTTTGGTGTGAAAATATTGTCTATGTTTCAGTAATATTGCTCATGAGAATGGGGGATTTTAAATTTTTTTTACTGTTTTTAATTTTTTCAGCACCTGGGGTGTGTGACATCATTAAGGTCTCTCTTAAGCCTGGCTACATGTATTGCCATTCTTGGTGTTGATTTTCACTCATTCCCACGCCGGTATGTATAGTGTGCATTCAGCATGACAGTGGAAGTATTTGCATATATACAATACTATACTATATCAATTTATTTATTCAGCCAACAATCTTAGGTTATGTTAGTGGTGGTTCATGGTGTGTCTTGTATTATTAAGCAAATACTGTACACACCTTCATGCAGTTATATAGTAATTTCCCAACAAATTTCATGATACTGTAAAGTACATGTACGTACACAGGTTTTTCATTATGAAAATGTTCCTTAGAGATGGATTTATTTGCATTATCAGCATATTATTATTCATGTCTATACTAATGTACAGTAAATAATATATTTGGGAGAACTAATACTGTACTGTGAGTTTATTTTTTATCATCATCATCAGTGTTTTAGGGCCATTACCCACATTCATCTGTTTAGATAAGTTATACTATTAAACTAAAGTGTCTAAATTGATTACCAATATATTTACAGTTGGCAGGTCAAGATTTTGTAACATAGCTACTTTTCCATCATAGGTTTGCCAAGACTGAGGAGTATGGGTACAGCCTCATGGATGTGGGCGCTGCAGGATTCGTCGTGATTAACGGCATTGTTGAAACCAAGAAGAGGCCGTACTACAGGTGAGTCTTAGGATCAATACTTCCTCAGTAAAAATCAAACAACTCAAACCAGTGTAATAACAACTGTCTTTGATATTCTCTAAACCTAATACAGCACATCCATTAATATAACATAAATATTTGGGAATAAATTTTCTTGGCAGCCAATGGTCCCAGCATTTTGTTTATTATAGCATTCTTAACTCGGTAATTACTAACTTAACAGGTACATCATGAGAGATGGAGTCATCCTGAGTGTGCTGGGTGTGTTAAGGCTGGTGCTGGTGAGGGCGGCAAATTACCAGCATCACGTGACAGAGTATGGTGTACATGCCAATTTTTTCTTCACTCTTGCGTTTATCAAGGTGAGTGTGTCATCTTCCCGAATATTTTATGTGTTGGCTAATACTGTATGTAAGGAGTCTGGTTAATTTTCTCGTGGAACAAAATATCTATTAATGATTAGTTTAAGTTATATCCTGGACTGTCCTTCTCTATTGTGTGTCTGTGTGTCAGTCTGTCTATCTGTATCTGTGTGTGTGTTTATGTATGTCTGTCCGTCTGTCTGTCTGTGTGTTTCCCTGATTCCTCATTCCCTGTTTGATTTTATGCTAAATGTACAGTATGTAGAATCTTCCCGTAAAGTCTCAGTTGTTAAAGGGTCAAGCAGAGTCAACACATTCTTTTTTTTTAAGTTTTTCAATTTCATATGCAGTGTTCTCCCCAATGAGGAAGATTACTCCTTGTATTTATCTTGCGTCTTTTTCTGTGTTCATACAGTTTACAGTACAGTAGTATGATGATGTTAAGTTTATGGTACTATTAGAATTACTTTATCTTTTATTAAATTCAGATGTTTTGTTAATTTGTGTGCTGAAAGGAGTCTGTTATTTAATTCATTTAGCTCAGACTGTATACAGCTCTTGATTAATGCAATAAATATTAAAACAAAAAGATATGAAACTAATTGTTATTTTCTTTTTTTATATTCATTATTTTATATATTTATTTTTTATAAGCACCTTTAGCTCAAACTTGATCAGGTAAACTGTAGTACTAAAAATAATTTACCTTGACTATCACCTATACTGTAGTCATTTTATATGTATTCATCACATCAAACCCTCTTCTCTAATGTTTTGAACCATTATTTCATTTTATTTACTTATTCCAGTTTACTTGCTCATGGTGGGTTTGTCATCTAAAATGTCTAGGAAGTGCCATGGTGGCTTTATTTCTCTGTTTATGTCACCATTTGTACCTCACTGTTGGTAATGGTGGCCCCTGGACACTGAGCGACATTCCCCGAGACACACTCCTTCTGGCCAACAGGGAGTGGCTGGTGTCTATGCCTGGTTATGTGGCTCTTTACTTCCTTGGTGCTTCTCTCGGAGCTTTTGTATTTAACAGGTAATTAATATTGTATTGCTGTATTTTTTATCATGAATATACCTGCATGGGGTGGGGGGGGAGGAAGGGTGCAAGGCAGATATGTTTATTGCAATCTGTATGTCTGTGGGTATGTGTGTTAATTAAATTTATGATGAAACTTGGTTTAAAATTTCTTATAGAGAAGATCTTGTGAGGGGTTGCCTTTCAGCATTAATTGACCAAGTGTGATTTTTAGACTGTCATGAAAGTCACTTTGGAACATAAAAAAATGCTTTTAGTGTATACTGTGTGAATATCACAGGCACAAATAATTCTTCTCTGACAGGAGCGGTAACACCAAATTAACTCGTCCGCTCATCGTCATCACACTACTGTGTGGTGGCTGTCTGGCTGGATTACACCATTATGTGGACTTACCATCTCGGAGGCTTGGCAACCCAACTTTTGCAGGGTTAGTTGTAAGTATTATGATAATGGTTATGTTTAGTCTGAAGGGAACTATAGAGGATGGACTCATGGTACAGGTAGTAGTAGTACTGTTGTTGTAGTAGTAGTAGTGAAGAGTCGTATCTGAAAAACTGGTCAGTATTTTTGAAGCTTTAAGCTTAGTATGGTATTGACTTATATAAATGTAGAGGAGTTGGTAGCTCTGATCATGCCATGGAAAGTTGGTCACTCATTGTGTTAAGATTCACCGAGGAGTTAAAGCAATCACCTGGAACTGTCTCATGGCACAGTTTGGTTACTTTCACTTTCAAAATCCCTTAAAGTGTTCTTGTCACATAGTGGCAAAGTACAAATGCTTACAATGATTATTTTTGGTTTTAGCTCTGCTCAAAAAAAAAAGAGAGAGAGAGAGAGAGAGAGAGAGGTTGTGTTGCAGCCAAGAAATTATAATTATTTTCAGCTTGTGAAAAGCAACAGCATGTTTGGAAACGAATTTGTTTTTTCTATGCCATCTTGTTATGCCAAAATAAAATTAAAACTATTGATTTTTCCTGTGAAAGAAAATTAACTCATTAATTACTAATAGTCACCTCATTTTTTTTTGGGGGCAAAATCCATGTGTAATTGTTAATTATGGGGATATTGTGCATTGCAGATTTTCTTCGTGCTCGTAGGGCTCACAAGTTTCTCATTAATTGAGGAGAGACTCGCAGAAGTGTTCCCAGGGTTGTCATCTGTGCCACACACTTTCCAAGCCATCAATCATCAACCTCTTCTCTTTTTCCTCTTGTCTAATGTATCTACAGGACTTATTAACAAAAGTATAAATACTCTAGAAGTGATGTACCCTTGGGATGTTAGTATTATTGCTGTGTATGCTACTTTATTAGTTAGTGTTATGTATTTTATATTTATTACTAATATTAGATAAAGTAGACTTATATATGTTGGCAGTAACCTTATGTACAGTCACTCAAAAAACTATCTTTACTGGGGTGAGGTCGATGCCTTTCAGAATGAACAGTGCGATGCCTGCTGTCTTGGTAGGGTTGTCAAAGTCCTTCGTCCATTGTGTCCTATTGTTTAACATAATTTTTTGAATGATTGTTTTCTCAGCAACTGTATGATATAAGAGACACCCCCAAATCAAGGGAGCATATTGTCACCATTTTGTTTGTCCATCTTGGTGTTCCAATCTATTTTTTGTAACCTGTTGAGGTCTTCAGCTGAATTTAACACACGTTGTTATCATAAAAGACGATGTAAGTTATACTAGATTTAGGACAGTATAAGATCACTGTCACAGACAAGGTTCTCTTTTCAGGGAGTCTCAAACTTCTTGTAAACAAATATTTCACATGTTGCCTATTTCAGTGCAGCAGAATTCTCACATAGTCTCCTCCAAACATATTAAGCTTTACTTACTTACTTCATCACAAAATAGGTGTACACACATATAGCAAGCTTCTTCACATCTAAAATAAGTCACATTTACATAAAAAACTGTTTTATATTGCCCAGGATTTGGTTAAAATAAGAAACAAGTTTACTAGAACATCTTTTATTTCTAGTTATTTTACAGCTGAGGGTATAGTACAAAGCATATGCCACAGATTTTCTATTTCTCCCTAATTACCCCAACAATAAAATTTATATAAAGCTACCAATCATTTACATAATTCACATGGTCAAGGAGTATGGTCCAGTCTGTGAGGTCTGGCAAAGCTTCTTGTATAATAAGTTATTCTCAGGAGTCATTTAGTGCCTTAGGGACCCTATTATTGCATTCGTACATGCAGTGAGACATTTAGTGAGGCCATTTAATATTTTTAAACTTGATAGATAAAAGGTTTATAAAATTATGAATATTTACACGTTTCGTCTCTCTGCCAATAGGTTCCCTAAAAATATGACAATTAATTAGGCAACATATTGAAACTAAAAGGAAATGTATACGAACTCGAAAAATAGATTTCCGTGACGGCTGAAACAGTGAATCGAAACCTTCACTGGTTGGCTAACGTCAGCTCGTCTAGTATAGTAACTTGAGCTTTTGTCATCGTGAGACAAACACATTGTGCATTTAATTATTTATTTTATTTTCCATAATGATCATTTGTGCTTTAGCTTCACCTATCGTACTCAATTACGGCCATTAATCTTTAATTTTGATTCCTGGTTCTGGATATTCTTTGCAGCGGGTGAGACTGCTTTATAATGTAAACAATTAAAGGGGAAAATTTGACCCGGTATAACACTGACCTAAAGGACTCGGGTTAAGTGATTAATTTATAAAGGAGAGCAAAAAATACAATAATTCAAACTAATAGGAACTATAAAAACACTGTTGTTTTTAAAAGAAAGAATTATGATGTTTAGCACCTTGGACAAGAGAGGAGAGAACAAACTTCAAAGATGTAACGTGAATCTTGGATCAACAAGAATTCCTCCCTACTCCAAATATTAACTCCCTTGTGAAAGCATCTTCACCTACATGATCGATCACACTATAGACAGACGAAGATGACCTGCCTTAGTAGGACGACTTTCAAAAATGTCCAGTTCATGACACTTATTTGGCAAGACTTGTATTTGTCTCCTAAAAGCTTGATATTGACAAATTTACTGAATGCAGTTTGATCTATCTTAAGCTCATTAATCTACTGTGTGGTAAATTGTTAATGCTCTGTGTCCCAGCACCCTCACTTTATCTTACTAATATTTTGGGGGGAGGCTACACATACAGTATATCAATTAAACTAGATCTGAAAATGAGTGATGACCATTCTTATGATACCTCTGAATATTATTAAAACCAGGACATTTCAATTTGATAGTGTGTGTACTTTGAGCTTCTGCAATGGAAATGGTTTCTGATTTACATTTAGTTTCAGTATACAGTAGTCTGTAATCTAAGTGTTGTACAGGTTTGTTTGTCTGTTTACTGAAATTTCCCTCGATATAAAAATAACAAATAAAATCAATTCAGAAATTAACCATTGTATAGATGGCTATGAGCTGTGCACAGCATAAAATGCTTTGCTACTTGCTAGTCTGTTTACCAGTGCACTTTATCTTTGTGCTCAATGAGACTGGCAATTACATCCAGCAAAAATACGTTGAGGAGAAACGTAAACAAGAGCCACGGTGCTCCTTCCTTTATAGCGAATCTCCATTTGTCATAATGCAGAAAAAATTAAGACGAAAACTGAAAGACGTGACGGTTAAAAAGACAGGTAGCATGTTAAACACTACGTATGTACATAAAGTGTTCCCTATGATACAGTATAAACAGAGGAGGAACTAAAGCTGGCATACCTTCATTTCTGACCAATTTACACCACAAACGCAATCCTTAAATGCCCGTTAATCTTAGTGTTTCTACTCCCGTCTCCAAATTGGGTATAAATACTGGTGACAGTTTTTCAGTGAGGTTTTAAATGTCACTGAAAAAAAATATATGTAAAATTCAGACCACTAACAGACCATGACACATAGATAAATGGATAAAAGTAATAATCCATTACTCTGTGTTTTTGTGCTTCCCATGTGACATTTTAAACCCATTGACAAATCCTCTCACCCGACTTCCCTGATATGTGCTCCATTTATGGCAATAAAATGAATGTTCAACATATGGGACTGACTCTTACACCTGCAAAATTGTGGTCAATGTATGTTTTACAGACAAAATACTCTTGTGCTTTAACTACTGCCAACAGTAAATAATAAAGACATAATGTACTGTTAGCAGCAAACGACCACACACTGCCAACCATAACAGACTGCCAAAGTAAATAAACATATACACATACTACTGCCAACAGTAATTAACAACACCCTTTGCATTCTTCTGTGATACTGAAGAGCTAAACAATAATACAAGTTTTATGAATCTTACAAAGATAATGTGAATTTATGATATGTAATTATAATTTCACAGAATTGGAAAATGAAAAATATATAAAGACAGTTTACAGAATTAATATCTTAAGATTCCTGGTGCTTTTCTGTTAAAACTGCAGCAAATGCTACCACACTGCTAATGATGAATTTAATCACAGCACTGAAGTATAAACACAATAGCCAGGACAATGAAACTGTACTTTGATAACAAAAGAACATACGGTAGGCATCAACTGTTATAATACATCCTGACCCGGACTCTCGGAGATTAGTACAGTAACTTTCCCTGTTATCGAGGCTGTATGTTACAGGCTCACTTCAGCTACAGAACAAAAATTACACCCAAAATGGCACTGATGTTGCAGTGAAATTCTACCATACTTAGATGGGTTCTTACACAGTGCAGTGCTGTACTGTGCCTGTACCTAAATGGGTTCTTTTCAAACTGTACCCATCTATAGGGAAGAACTAATGTGCAAATCTTTGAGAATCCAAATCTAAAGTACATTAGATGGCACAAGTGTTCCCAAGTTCATCTGGGAAATTTATATAAGAAAATATAACTAAATAAAAGGCAACGTTCAGAAGAGATTCAGTACAGTTGACCATAAAAATAAGGGAACAGGAAACGGCACATGTGACATACACACATTAAAAGGAAACATTGTTTTATACAAGTTAAGCACTGACCAATGACTTTCAAGAGATACCTTCCTATGTGCAGATGCATTAACATTACTGCAGATGTTTATCTGTTTGGAAAATCTCACCTGGTGATAAGTAACGCTGACTATAATAGGAATAATCTCATGTGAAGCTCATGATTATGGCATTTACAGTATAAGTTGTTAAGTGTCAGCTGGTGTGACTAGTGACATTACTTGCTGTGAGCAAAATATTAAAAAATTTGTAAATAAAAGAAAAACAAAGAGTATTACCTTATTCATACAGTTAAATGATAGCAAAAACTTCTTTTACACTTTTAATTACCTCGGCAATATAAAAAATTTTGTTGATCAGCATTGTGTGCATCAAGACTATCAGATATAAATAGGTTACTGCACCCTTTGTTAATTCCACATTTACTATGTAGATAAATAAACAATGACACATGCAACACATATAGCATTTGGGATCATTATTTACCAAAGAGACACAACTGTGATTAAGCAGGCACTCGGTAGTCAAGCCTTTACTGTTCATGGTGTACCTCAGAAACTCTTGCTGTAATCCTTAAAATATCCACAATAAATGAAGGTCTTACAAAAAGCATTTATTACCCACTTATATACTCTAAGGCCAATAATCACAAAGAACACTCGACTCCATCTATGGTGTTGAAAACATGACATGCTTTGTTAATGTTTGTGGGTGTTAATACCTCTTAATGCCACCAAAATTATCCATACATAGTTTTGGAAGATGCATTTACCAAAGATGCACTTACAAGCAAAATGTTCAACATTAAAATATTACCATGAACAGGACAGCATACCATTCAATTCTTATGTGACATGACCTGGCTAAAAAATTGCAACCTTACCAAGACTACCCAAGGTTGTCTGTCAGGTAAAGTTAGGCTTGGGTTGTCTGCTTAAAAAATATTAAAAGTTTGGATTTTGTGCTAGAAAAAAATCCCATTTAAGGTAAAATTTTAAATATTGGTCATCTTGCCACTTACAAACTTAAGCAAAGCAAGTTAACAAACACCTTAAAAATGTCTGGAATACTTAGCCAGACTGAGTGTGTCTCCTGAAATGGCATGAAGGATTTAAAAATTCCAACACATTTGATACAACATATCACAAGAACTTGTGGTGAAGCCCTTAACACCACAAGGAGATCATAAAATATTTGGTATTATGCACTTTTGTCACCCAAAATATCTGGCAATATATTACTGTACCTCTGAAACATATCTCATCATTAAAACTGTTCTTTCCATGTTATATAATCATCACAATAGCACATACTGGCATTCAATATTCCTTTATACCTGACAAATTACCGTAAGTCCTCAAATCTCTTGTGAATAACCTTCAACATTCAAAGGTGCAACTCAACCACACCATCTCATACATCTCGACGATAGTACAGTCAGCACAAATTCAGGAGACAGTGCTTGGTTACCAAGTTCGTCAGGCCGTGACACGGACGACCGGAAAAACATGCCATGACACTACACGCAGGACTTAACGTAATGTCATACATCTAAAAATTCTCAATCACAATTTTCTTGGGAAAGGAGAGGCCCAAAAACGAACCTAAGTAATTCTCAGTTACAATTTTCTTGGGAAAGAAAAGGTTCAGAATGAACCTCGAACCACACTCTAATGGAAAAGCACGTTGTTCCAATACAGTATATGAAACAACTACACGTACACACCGTGGCTCCGGACTGTCACAGGCATGGGACGTACTATGGAAAAAATCAAGTATAAAGTGGGAACTAAATTTGTGCTGCATGACAGTTTACAATAATACAGTAAATGACTGTATCCTTTTATCACTCATAGTAATATGGCTATAGCATCACAAAATAATATAACTTGGAATTTCCAAAAGATAATTCTAATTGAGATCTATATAAAATATTTTCACTATAATTAAGTATTAAAGAATTCTTAACATGTTTCTTATTATAATAGCTGAAAATTGGTTATTCCTACATCATGACATTAATAATAAAGATACAACTAAATACTGAACTTTAAATTAGCGAGTCAAGCACAGGTAGCATTCCATGCCCGGCATGTATACTGTAGAGCATAAGTTTATCTTTAATGCTCAATCTAAAAGAAATTAAATCTTTGATATACTGTATTATCTTAGGATAAAATTTATATGTGAATATCAAATTAAAAAAGTTCCCCATTAGTTTTAACAAATACCCCCACATACCTACTCTACAAGCACAATGTAAATGCTACAAAACGTAGCATACGAAGCTTCTCCGTAAAGAAGTAAGAAAAAGTATCCGAATTTTTTAAAATTTCAAAATGACTTCGTAGTGCAGCTAGATTAAGACTTCTCAACAAACATTGGAAGAAGTGACAGGCCGTATATACCCAGTAAACTTACTACCAAAACCTCTCAATACAGTACAGTACTTTCTTAGTAGCAAAAGTTAAAAAGATTTTCTAGCATCCTTAAACAATGACACTGTCGCTATAGATGATTGAAAAGAATGTGTTTCTCTTAAGTTATGTTGAACAAATTAAAAGGTGGTGACAAATACCCCCTTTATTTTAATGTCAAAATACCAGAAACTAGTGCAACACCAAAACCTGATTCACATACAGTGGGTATTGTATTGTGATGCTGTGTTCAGCTTTCCTTTATACTAATGACATGTTTTGCACAAGGTGGCCAGTGTTAGAAAATTACCTGCAACAGAACCACTAAAACATTTACTGTACTGTATGTCTAAAAGCAGATGACCTAACTCTTAGACTGACCAACCAAAACATTAACATCCAGGGATAGTTTAGGTTAGTTGTGTCACCTGAAGAATAAAAGTTTCACAGTCCTAAGCAGAGTAATCAATTCACATGAAGATTAGGCCCCCAACCTATTTCACTTTATGATTAAACACCCCTAATGCTAAATGGGGAAGGGGGTAGTACAGTATTAAGGTGTTTAATCATAAGGTGAAATAAGCTGGGTTGCCTAAATTTTCATAAGATCTCAATAATCTAATATAACTGACCATTTTGTAAATGTTGTGTTCAGGAACGAACCCTTAAGACCTGATGTTTGTGTACATTCATTTTCAATGAGCTGACGGAAAATTGTTGGGATTCTTCACATTCAACATCAAAGGTTTGCTCATACATCCATTTACCCGGCTGATTGTTTTATAGTGTATAATTAAAACAAAACGTAAAATTTTAAACAAGGGCTCTGTTCCTTTCAAGTATTTTGGTGTTTAACTTTTCAAACAAAAATTCAGAACTAGAGATAAGCTACCAAGGATCTCTGCACCTAGTATTGTTGGTAAATTATTACAAACAAACACAATAGTATATAAATGATCTTCATACCTCCCATGGTACAACAATGACCTCATCATAATTTCTGTTTCTCACTTAACCTGTCTATTGTCAAAAAAAGGCATTTGTTACTATGAATCTACAGACAGGTAAATTACACTGTGTATCAGCCAGTCAGGGCCACAGTGTATATGCCATACAGTACATCATTAGCAAAAGGTATCAAAGGCAGCCAATTACTGTGTTGTGAAAAAAAAATACTTTAAGCTTAGTTTATTATTAGGTAAATTGATTATCTCTAAAATATAGAATTTAAAGGAACAAATCTTTCAAAAACCAAGATTTCTCAAGTTAGCTTTTAAGTGAACTATAGTAATATGAATACACATTGATACAAAATGAAATAATTATAACACCTTTCTTTTAATATATAATACTATTTCCAAATATTTTGTTTTCCTTTATTTGTTCATGAGTCAGCTGTTATATATTTACTCTAAGGTTTTTTTTAAATAACTACAACTTCTCTCTTTTAGTGGTAACAAAAGCCTTTAAGAAATACAGTATTATAATTCTGAGATCTAATTTGTGAATGATTACTTGTAGAATATTAATGTTTTTCATATTTGTTCATTGAGTATGTATAGTTTGTTTGTCATTTTGTGTTTTTTTCTTTGTTTTGGATGTGTTGTCGTTATAATGTTATTACCCCACTTCAACAACGAAAGTATTTTAAGTGCATAACAGTGATAGTAATGCACTAGTTCAACAACAATAAAAATTATGACAGATGTGTTGTGGGTGAATTTATGCTTTACATGCGGCAGTAATTTGTGTTCAGACAAGACTCTTTCGTCCCTGCCAAAATTTTCTAAGTGAAATAAATGCCATAACTTCATCAATTAAGACTGAAAAGCACTGATTAATTATATCATCTAAGCTCTGGTAGTCTTGATATGAAACTGCATATCAAAGTTCATATTAATCTACAAAACTTAATTTATACATATTCAGCACTGTAGATGTAAAGATATCATTAAAGTGTTTGGAAGGGCTTTATCAATAAGACTATATCACCCCAGAGCAGACAACAGTTATTAGGAAAATTTAGTGTAAAAAGAAAACCTGTAAATATTAAATAGTACCCTGTATAACCTTTAATTATGCTCTATATCATGGATCTACAGATGGACTGTATCGCCTAACCAGTTGTCTATGCTTAGGAAGGAAATTTTTCTTGTAACTTTTGTCCCGTATCTATGGCAGTAATCCATAAGCAATGACATGGCATAAAAGTCAAATGAAAAACTTATCGAAAGCATTTATCATTCTAACCTAACTAAGGTAGAATAGATAGCTTAGATTTACTTAAATGAAAATACCAAATGATTACCATATAACTCTTACATACACAATCGTCACTACATCATTGGGTTTCATGTCACTTAAGATTTGTTTCATTTTGCTGATACTTGTGTTTCTTATCTGTCTGTCTGTCTGTATGTAGATGAGGAGAGGGTTTACGTATTTTCTAACTGAGGACCTATTAATACACTTCATTGTTTTGATGTGTCCGTGTTGTGGTTCCTACGTGCACTAAACTTCATTTAATAGAAACTGATACCATATTGAAAAAAAAGGTATATATATCATCAAAAGACCTGAACAAAAATTCCTTGAAGAAATAAAGTAATGGTGAGAAAAAATTTTTATCAAAAGATCCTAAGAAAAACTTTATTCGATTCCCTGGGTAAAAATATAATGGAGAAGAAAAAATATATATAATTAACAGAAGATCCTATGAAAAACTGTATTAACCATATACAAATAAACTATGGAAAGAAGAAACTAAAAAAAAAAACACTGCACTTGACTCCCTGAAACACTGGTTGTGTGACTGTGGTACTGTACTTTATAGCATTTTAGATACAACTAATCATATTGTGTATCTTATTGACAACACACACACACACACACACACACATCAAACACACACATACATGCACACAAGCACACACACACACACATTCATCAAAACTCGACCTACAGGTATATTCACAGGATTCTTTTACTGTCACCACCTTAGATAAACACTTAGCTATAATGACTCCAAATCCTAAATGACTCGTAAACAATCAAGACGCTCCCTATAAAACACTACAGTATATACGAAAAAAAAAATAGTTTAGTATAATTACCGTCACTGCGTCTGACCCTGATCAACCCAACACAACCAATCACCTTAAAGCAACTTCGGCGGTTCTCTACACCCCAGCTACGCTAACATGGCACTTGTATACCTCAGTAACGGCTATAGGCACAGTCACTCCAGCAATGCGTATTTGTTGGTAGTCAGATCTTATACAGGTTATGCTCCTTTATTTATAAGACTTTCCCATGAACTTTTATCAATATCTACAAATTAATATAATAATAATATTATTATTTATCCATAACTATTACTTTCTCTCGGGCATAAACTCCAATAAATGCCGTTAGTTTATTGTTACAAAACGTAAAAATAATGAGATTTGCAAAGCTCCTGGTTAGGTGCTGTTAAGCATGACAAGTTTAGGCTTAGGCTGGTTGTCACTCCATCAATGTTTTTTTTTTACATAATTCTGGGATGAAACTAAAAGAAGTAGCTATGCAATACTAACAACATAATGTAGTAAAAAGCACATTTATAAACAAGTAACACACTGTAAAGTGTCATTGGCTACTTCCCACCTGTAAACAACAACAGTAAAGACTTTGTGTCAGTTTACGAGGCTCCTGGAGATACTGTACGGCGATCTTCCACTCAAGTTTAAGGGGACTGAATATATATACAGTATATAAAAAAAATCTTTGAATTACTCGAGATTCTGGATTTGTTTGATCATATTAAACAAGAGACATTTGTAAATATCAAGCAGCACATTAAGACATTCTGGTAACTTTCATCTCAGAATTGAATGTGGATTTCATTGAAGGACATTTTGTCTCCAGAATGGAACTTAACAGTCTATTGGAGTGGGCACCATAAAATAAGTGGTTTACAGTTAATATTTAAATTAAGAAGAAAAATGTTTGATTTTCTTGGTTGAAATAAGGAACTTTGTGATAATTCATGTGTTTATCATACTGTCACATAATGAATACATTATGCTACGTCAAGTAAAAGCAGAGCGAGACAGCAAACCAACCTTAGGCTTAATGATCAAACTCTGGTTTTTTAGTAGTGATGAAACTGTTGACTGATTCCCTTTGCTTCCCCTTGACATAACTCGACGCATTAAAGCTTACATCTTGTCTAATAATATCAATTCTAGGATTTTTTTTTTCATGAGAGACTTTGTTGATCATGTCAATAAGCAAACAAAGCCGGGGTAGAAACAGTCTGACGTGCCGGAATCTATACGTAAATCCTAAGTTAATGAGTATCATACTCTGAAACAAATATAACATAATTTATGACTTTGAAAAAGACTAGGAAATACAAGTATAGTATGAAGTCACTGGATGCTAGACTTCACCAGCAAAGAATTTCCCGAAGTCAGTTTATAATAAAAAGCTTTATATTATGACCTATGACAGAAATAACATCATTTCAGTGTCCAGCAAGAAACTAGTCTAAAACTCACACATTCAGCAACACTCACAGGAAGGGATGGCAGAAAAAGCACGGAACAATTCAACTTGTTGACCTAGCTAAGCTACGGGGCCATCACGCTTGCTGGTAACCCAAGCCTTGCTGTTTAATGGCCATCTCAATGGCTTGGTCTACAAAGTATTTATCGTTGTTGTTCTCGTTTTCTGCTTTGTGTGGAGTGTCCGCTTGCCTTCTGTCGGCCTCGTCTCTGCTCTCTTCGCTCTCCACTGCCGTAGTGTCGCTGTGGTCCCCCACGGAGTTCTTGTTGTTGTCTATAGTAGATTCTTCATTTCCACAGCTCGTATCTTTTCCAGGTATGGCTGCATCACAGGCGTGCTTGTCTAAATCACAGTCGGGCTCTTGTGGCCGATGGGGCGGAATCGGGTGAGGTGAGGAGGGCTGGGTACTAGGGGGGGCCAGTTGCACATTGGGTATAATGGGCATGGCAGGCATAGTGGGCATGGCCGACATGGCAGGTACACGAGGTAATGGTCTGCTTATCATATGCGTCATATGTAAATGAGTGTCATGAGGCAAGTCATCTGGGCCCGGGTCCTCTCCTAGATCACTGTCATCATCAGACGAGTCGTAGTCTGTAGTGGTGCCACTTTCTAGTGGGTCGTAATGATAGGGTGGCATAAAGAGTCCCTTGTGGTGCATGGCTGCTGTTAGGGCTTCATTTTCTAGTGCTCGCTGTTGGGCCTCTTCTGCCTCTCGTTCTTCATCGTCACTTAAGCTTAAGACTAAAAGGGGGTGAATCCCTTGGCTTCTTTCCGTTACTGGTGAGAATCCCATGTTCTCTAACATTCTGTTCACTGTGTTGTCAAAGATGCTACGACACAACTGTCTCGTGTGCCACCTCAATATGCCAGCATCCGGATCTGGTTGCACCTGCTGGCCATCCTTTAAGCAATCGCCTGGCCGTAAACTGGCATCGGGCGGAGGTGGGGCGGCCATCATGCCATACGTCGTGGGATACGGTGCTGGCATGATGGGGGGCATGAGATCGGGTCGTGGCCGTGCTCTTGGGTCCATAAATGCTGCTCTGTCTAAGCTGCCTACGGGTAATCCCTCCCTGGGATCTAAAACACCATCTTCTTGACTTCCTTCACTGTTCACGTCACTAGATTGAGAGTCTTGACTGTCATCTTGAATATCTGTCGAACATTCACCTAAATTCTGCGTCATATTACTTAAAGTATGTTCATAGTTCTTAATCTCCCAGGCATACCTAGCTTTCTTAAATGGTCGCGGTGGAGGACCAATCCCCGACTTACTTCTAAACCCCAGTTTCCTGACGGGCCCTCCCGGCTCCTTGGGTCCGTCAGGTTCTGGTTGATTCGAGTTATGGACGGGCAAGGCATCATGTGGCTGTGTCTCCTCCTGCAATGCTGCGTCCTCCAACATGCCGGTCTCCTGTGGTAGAGCCACCTGATCGTGTCGTAGCTCTGTGTGTTGTTGATGAACCGCCTCCACCTCCCCTTCTCCAGTACCTGGCCCTTCTGACTCATTTTCATGGGCCTTCTTCTCATTCATTGTCCACAGGAGGAATTGTAACACCTGAAAGAGAAATAACAGTTATAAATAATAACTAACACATCAAGGTCTTTCATCATGAACCACCACCCAACTGACCAGTTCAAATGATGGTTTAGGTAAATGATATTGTTCCTTGGACATTAAATACCTGTATACAGTATATCTTTAGTTATCTGAGAGTATAAAAAATAGTAACCTCGCCAAAGTTGACATCTAAACACATTTATACAAGTATTCATGTCTACTTAATTATTATGTGAAGACCCCACACCTGAGACACTGTTACAAGGTACTGTGTCTATGTACAGTTTAAACCTTCAACATGCATCACACAATAATAACATCTTTAATAAGTTTCAGTGTTATTCATCTGTTTAAGAGTAGAAGTTCTTGTTTTCTTTCATAGTTTCTTTGTTATGCATCAAAAAAATGTAACCTGGGTGCTTGATAAGTACTGTAATTTTTATATAAAATTTCCAATATTTTGTTTTTGGAGGAAGAGGTGAGGCAATAAATAGCTGTGCAGATATTATGAAATGAATCTATACAAGTCCTCTAATACCTAGTAGCCCAGGATGATCAACTTGGCTGCTCACACATTCAACAGAATTGTTCAGCCATAATTTATTTTTGTTCAAAACCATAAAATTATGAACAGTATGACGCTTAACTTTTGAAAAAATAATTATAATATAATCTTGTTTAAAACAGTAGATGGTTTCTGGTCTTATTTTAAGATTGAGAAATAATTCAGTTGTAAGGACAGATGTGTTGTACAAAACCTAGTACACATCATATTGCTAAAGACCGTCCAAGAGAGACAAAGATACCCTACCCTGACATGTCTTACTCTAACCTAACAATAACATACCCTACCCTAAACTAACATATTCTCACCTAACCTAACATACTTTGCCTTAACCTCTAACATAGTCTAACCTAACACAACCTCAAGTTATATAATTTACTGTAATTTTATCGAACCGGGCATAGACTAACCTGAACAGTTTCGCAAAATTTACGCAAAATATTTACAATCATCCACGAGCTCACACTAAAAGCTAGGCTGCCACACCATGTTAACAGAAAAATTAACCATTACATACACAGGGGATTAAAGTACCAAAATGTACACACAGTTAGCATACACAGTTACTTTAGTTTAAAAAAAATTCGTTTAATGATAAATTGGGTCGTGATGACTGACTGATATTTGTGTCTTGTTATTAATTCATTCAGGTTTGATGATTGCCTGGGACCTATCTTGAGTCAGTAAGGATGATTGACTATCCTGTGTCACAAGTCAGTCATTAAGTCAATTAGGATGAGTGATTGAGCCATGTCTTAAGCCAATCATTCAGTCAGGTAGGATGATAATTGACCGCTCTCTAATCTTTGAGTCATTCATTTAAGTTAAGCCAGATCAACTGACTTCTTCTCTTTGAGTCAATCATTACATCAACCAAGACAATTGACTGGGCTCTGTCTTGAGTCAGTCATTAAGTCATGCCAGATCAGCTAACCCATGTCTCGAGTCAATCATTAAGTCAGCGAGATTGATTGATTGACCTCTGTCTCGAGTCAATCATTAAGTCGGCCAGGATGATTGACTGACCAGACGCCATACAAGAGCATCACATTCACAAACTCTCCAATATAAATTTTTATTTCCCGGGATTTTATTAACTTTATTACTTACCCCGCCTGTGCCTGAGTCTTCCCTGTATATTGAAGTATTTTTATAATTTAAGATACGTTTGCTATAAGGTCTTGTTACAGCAAAATAGACATAAATTGAGAGTTCAACGCTCGCTTCGTGTATTAAACAGCTGATTCAATGTAAATACAAATCTGGTAGATAATAAAAAATAAAATGACATATTCTTATTATTTGTCTTTTTACTTACTATTATTGTTATTTATAAGCAGTCAATTTACGTTCTCGAAATAGTAATGAGGGAATATTGTTATTAATAAAAATAAAAATAGTAAATATATATTAAATGCCATTACAACGGCCACGTTTTCTGTGAGTAAAATGACGCAAAGAAAAGGAAGGAGCTTCTTTTTCCTCTCTTCTTGGGGGACTATTACTCCCCTTTATCTATCTATTACAGGTAAATAACACCCAATATCTTATAACATTATCTGCTATATATCGTAGAAACTATAAGTGATAGAATGATGATAATACGTAAGGTAGTTAAAGCATACGAAGGAAATAAATAAATATAATCCACCTTAGAGTCACAACAGCCACTGTTATGGATCATTCCAGTAGCTAATTACAGTCATTCAGCCATTTCATGTTCATCTCTGTCATGTCTTGTTCATCACTAACTGGTTATATTAGTAAGTATTTTAAATTTGTTTTCTGTTACAGTGGGTCGTGTTAACTTCAGCTTGATCGTTACATTTAAATTTGAAATTGAATAGACGAAATGCAGTTAAATGTTGGAATGACTTTGTATACTTTAATTCGTAAATGAGAGACAAGTTAAAATTAAATTCATTTGTATATTATATATCTCTAGGTGTTTGAGACAATAACAATGATATAAATAAGATTGAATGATTGTTAAATTTTACACGTTAAATTCGAACATTTAAACGACATAACAAAGTTGGAAGCTGAAACAATAGTATTAATCTTCAACAATAAACGTATTTATTAATTCCTTTTATTTATTTACTGTATTTCTTTTTATTTATAATGTTTATTGTTTTACTATTTTCCGTTTTATTTTGTTACAATGATGACAGTTTAAAGGGAGTAAATATGTAATTGTAAACATGAATTTTGTAGTTAATGAAGGAATTGGGGTGTTAAATGTTAGCTTTCATGCGTTTTATTTTCACCTTACAGCACTTGACACTGACATACACACACGAGAAGAGGAGCTGCCTGCCTGCCTGAACTACCCACATACCCACTTGTGGATATTATAACTCGGTGTCTGGAGCTCATATAGTAGTCATAGTGTATAGCAGAAAAAAATATACTGTATAGTGAAACATATTACGAAATTCGCCATAAAGTTTGACGAGTGTCCATTGCACAGGTTACTCAGATAAGGTTAGTTAATTATTATTTGTACCTGTATGTTTTATTACCAGTTAAAATATTAAATTAATATTAGTTATTGAATATTTTATAAGGATTTTGTAAAGGATATTGAAAAGAATTTTTGTGTGTATTGTGTATGGTGGAGTGAACTTTAGCACAAGTGACCCAGGTAAGGTAATTAATATATGTTTTACCTGTATGTTTTAGCACCAGTAAAAATATTACATTGATGTTTGTTATTGATTATTTATTTGTTTAATGTATTTGTATGTTTCAGTGTATTATTATTATTATTATTATTATTATTATTATTATTATTATTATTGCTATTTTTTATTATTATTATTATTACTATTATTATTATTATTATTATAACATGAAGTACAGCAGTTTTTAGAGCCCCTATATTCAGGTACTTAAAATCATTAATATAGACAGGTAAATAGATAAGACAAACGTTATAGGTAAAATAGAGACAAAATAAAGCGAAAATGGCAGAAATTAGGTCAAATATATGCCGTAATTCATGAAAATACATTATCAATTACGTGTTTGTTCTGTGTGTGTGATAAACATAAACACAGCAGTTGTACCTCTGTCGAAAGAAAACGGGCGTATAATAGTATAGATCTGTCATGTTTAGTTAGGTGTTGGGGGTGTTTGGTTGGGCGTGTGTTGGGGTGTTTGGTTGGGCGTGTGTTGGGGTGTTTGGTTGGGCGTGTGTTGGGGTGTTTGGTTGGGCGTGTGTTGGGGTGTTTGGTTGGGCGTGTGTTGGGGTGTTTGGTTGGGCGTGTGTTGGGGTGTTTGGTTGGGCGTGTGTTGGGGTGTTTGGTTGGGCGTGTGTTGGGGTGTTTGGTTGGGCGTGTGTTGGGGTGTTTGGTTGGGCGTGTGTTGGGGTGTTTGGTTGGGTGTTTAGTTGGTTGGGTGGTTGGTTGGGCGTTTAGTTGGTTGGGTGGTTGGTTGGTTAGGCGTTTGGGTGGTTGGGTGTTTGGTTACAAATATTACCTCCCTCAGTTAGATCGAGGGATTAGTATTATCTAAAAGTCTAATTCATAGTCAAGAGTCTAGGTTACACAGAGGGCGCGCCTGTTTATCGAGTCAAATCACCTGTAGATTAGACATCCTGGCTTATTACACCTGAAGATTAGGCACCCCAGCTTTTTTCACCTGAAGATTAGGCACTACAGCTTATTTCACCTGAAGACTTGGCACTACGGCTTATTTCACCTTCACGATTAGTAGACACCACAGCTTATTTCACCTTCACGATTAGACACCCCAGCTTATTTCACCTTCACGATGAGACACCACAGCTTATTTCACCTTCACGATTAGACACCACAGCTTATTTTACCTGAAGATTAGACACCCCAGCTTATTTCACCTGAAGATTAGACACCCCAGCTTATTTCACCTTCACGATGAGACACCCCAGCTTATTTTACCTGAAGATTAGACACCCCAGCTTATTTTACCTGAAGATTAGACACTACAGCTTATTTCACCTGAAGATTAGACACTACAGCTTATTTCACCTGAAGATTAGACACTACAGCTTATTTCACCTGTAAGATTAGACACTACAGCTTATTTCACCTGTAAGATTAGACACTACAGCTTATTTCACCTGTAAGATTAGACACTACAGCTTATTTCACCTGAAGATTAGACACTACAGCTTATTTCACCTGAAGATTAGACACTACAGCTTATTTCACCTGTAAGATTAGACACTACAGCTTATTTCACCTGTAAGATTAGACACTACAGCTTATTTCACCTGAAGATTAGACACTACAGCTTATTTCACCTGTAAGATTAGACACTACAGCTTATTTCACCTGTAAGATTAGACACTACAGCTTATTTCACCTGTAAGATTAGACACTACAGCTTATTTCACCTGAAGATTAGACACTACAGCTTATTTCACCTGAAGATTAGACACTACAGCTTATTTCACCTGTAAGATTAGACACTACAGCTTATTTCACCTGTAAGATTAGACACTACAGCTTATTTCACCTGTAAGATTAGACACTACAGCTTATTTCACCTGAAGATTAGACACTACAGCTTATTTCACCTGAAGATTAGACACTACAGCTTATTTCACCTGTAAGATTAGACACTACAGCTTATTTCACCTGTAAGATTAATCTAACTTGACTTAACCTTTACGCTGAGACTGGCGTTGACAATCACCCTGGCGTTAACACCTGAGCGTAGATACTCACCCTGGCGTTGAAGAGATGGGTGTAGTCGGTCCAGCGTGGGAGATGGCGTTGAGGAGGAGCTGCATTTTCCATCTTATTCTCTTAAGCCTTTTTTTTTCAACTAATTCTCATTTTCTATACGACTTCAAGCCCCCCTAGCATCAGTCAACTTTATGAATGACTCACCTGACTGACTGACTGAGTTACTGACCGAGCAAAAGGAATAATCTCCCCCTCCTCACCCCCCTCACGCTCCCGGCCCGTTTATATGCCAGGTCACCTCACTTGCACCCCTGAAGGTAAGCCAAGCACTCAGCACTAATGCAGCTAGGGGAGTGGTGCTTTGAGCTGCTTACAATCGGTCCATCTGTAATATTTTGGGGCAACTTTCTTATGAGGCGTCACTTTCCTATATCAAATTTCCTCAGGTGTCACTTTCTTTCGAGGCGTCACTTTCTTATACCAAGTTTCTCCAAGCGTCACTGTCTTAGGAGGCGTCACTTTCTTATACCAAGTTTCTCCAAGCGTCACTGTCTTAGGAGGCGACACTTTCTTAGGAGACGTCACTTTCTTACATCCACTTTCCCCAGGCGTCACTGTCGCACTGTTCTCGTGTTGTTGATCACACTCACGGCGGCGTTGACTGACACACGTGGACTGATGCGTTGAGGTTACACGCGTCTCTGTATGTGTGTCTAGTGGCGTCGCAGTGTATGTCCGTCACTCCTTTGCTACTGCTCTCCCTTCCTCCCTCCCGCATTTCTTACGTAAGATTCCACCTTCTCTCCCTGCCACCTAACCTCTCCTTCCCTCCTCCAACAGGACAGCTGAATATTGTCCGATAAATGACGCATTTACCCTCCCCCCCACTCCCTCCTTGTCATCTTACCCCTTCCTTTCATCTCCCCGGCCCTCCCTCCCTTCACCCCCCTCCCCTTCCCCCATCCTTCGCTCCTCCCTCCACGCCCCCCACACGGAGGTCACGACGTAATAAGAGATTTTTTTACCCTCACTCTAACAGTAACCTAACCTAACCCACCACAGGTTTTTATGGGTTAAATAGACATGTTGTAATTACGTTGTGAAACTCTCGGCCAGACTACATCAACCCTTGAACGGACACATCGCCAGCACGAGTGATCATTAGCGCCCGGCGTCTCTCTGTTTGAACCTTCTAAAACACCCTTCACTCATCAGTACCTCGTTAGGGTCATCTGTAGATTAAACAACCTAACCTACCTTAATCCTCAGGTAATGTCAGTGTTCAATTACCAAGGATTAACAAATTCTTAGTGAATTTTAACCGAGAATTTAAGAGGTTTTTTTTAGGTAAGGTGAACCAAAGATTATCAGTTTATTGTTAAGTTAAGCCAAGAATAAGTGTTTATCTAAGTGTAGCCAATGATCAGCAGCTTTTTGATAAGTATATTAAAAAATCACTAGTTTATTGCTAAAGTGAACCAAGCATTACTAGCTTATCTTAGTGAGTATTGGTAAGAGTTGGCAACGCTTGTGTAGTACGGTCCATTCAAGAAATTTCTCACTC